TCTGCGGCGCGTGCCAGTCGCGCGGCGTACCCTGCCCGCGATTTATCGGTTGGCGCACGGTGTGCGCTGGAGGGCGCGGCCGCCCAACAATGGGGGGTGCGGCGCGCGCCGCGTGGAGCTCAACACGAAGGCGCCGCCCTGGCAGCTCCAGAAAGGCAACCGGGACAAGGACCATGACTACCTACCAAACCACCCCAACCCAACCCGAAGACCCGAATTTTGCTCCAATTTCGGGTTGGGGGGGAGTGCGGGTTCAATCTGTGTTTTTTTTTTTAAATAAACCCCGACCACCCCAACTGGAAATGGATGGCAAATTGAGGCCTTCGGGTTGGGTTGGGATGGTCTGGTGGGTGGTGAGACCAGGATAAGAAGCGCATCAAGGCCCTCGAGGAGCAGGTGCGCGACCTCAAGGCTGGGCAGCCGCTCACGGAGGTGGACGTGGGCAGCGCCCGCGGGGGGGACCAGCAGGCCATCGCCAAGCTGGAGGCGGCCATGAAGACCCTCGACGGTGACGAGGACGACGCCGACATCGCGGCCCTGCGCACGGCCAAGCAAGAGCAACTCAAGGTGCTGCACGCGAAGCGCCTGGCGGACAAGCCCGCCCACGTTCAGCTCGAGCAGTGGGAGGAGAAGCTCCAGAAGGCCAAACTGGAGGAGCGCCTGAAAGGACGGAGATCCCCGACCTTGAGCAGCAACTCGCGGCCAAGCGCGAGGAGCCGCAGAGAGCGAAGTGCGAGGCCCAGGGCAGCTAGCGCAGCCTCCGCTGCGCGGTCCAGCCTCGCCCCGCGAGCTGCACGAAATGCTGCAGCTGTTCACCGAGGGCCTGCAGCAGTTCGCTGCCGCGCGTGGCGCCCCCGACATGCAGCCAGTAATGGCTAGCCTGGCGGCCGTCGGCGACAACGCCGATAAGGAGGCTACCGCGGCGGAGGGTGAAGGAGGAGTCGGCCTCGCGAGCCCTGCTGCGGCTCCTCCTGCTGGTGCTGCGGGGGGGCATGCTGATGTCCCCGCCGTCGCCGCTGGAGAGGGCGTCGCAGCTGGCACAGCCGTGGGAGGAGGAGGACGAGGAGGCGAGGACACCTTCGACTTCGACTGGCTGGGGAGAGGAGGAGCAGAACGAGATCTTGCGCGCCCTCGGGCAGGACGACAAGGACGACAAGGCCGAGGGACAGGATGCTGGGAAGGGCAAGGACGTTGCCATGCACCTCGGCCGGCCAGTGCACAAATTCATGCTCAAGCAAGCGAAGGCCCGTGTCACCAGCGGCCGCCCATCCAGGGGGTATCAGGGCGGCGCCGCTGCCTGCCCGCAGCAGCGCTGCCTTCGTCGAGCGCGGAAGGATGAGGTCAGCGTGATCACGTTCAACGGGGACGCACGGGTTGGCCAGGGGACTCTCCTGAGCGCCCTCGGCTCCGAGGCCATCGCAGTCTGCGGGCAGAAGGTCAAGCACGATCATTGCGGTGCGCGGGCGGCTGTGGAGGCTGCAGGCTGGCGTGCGAGTATCGCCCATGTGGTGCGCTCTGTGCCAAGGACGGACACGCGGTTCGTCTCGGCGGGCGTGCAGGTGGCGGCTTGCCGCCACGTGCGCTCAGAGTGGGTCGAACCTTGGGCACGCGAGGACCTTCGTCTGCCGGGCGTGCCATGGAGGATCGCCGCGCGCTGGCTCCACCTCTGGCAGCGGGGGGTCGCCGTGTCGGTCTACATGGTCACGAGTGCGGCGTGGGGAGAGGCGAGCGTGCACTGGATCCAGAGGCTGGCTCGACTGCTGTGGATCGTCGGCATGGATGCCAACACGGCCATCGACGACATCAGGGAGTGCGAGGTGTTTGCACGGCTGGGAGCCGTTCGGGCGCACGCGCAGGACGTGGGACGAGCGGTCGACCACTTACGACTTCCTGGTGGACAGGCGGCTGGAGCCTCAAGCCCTTGGCGCCGAGGTGGTGGACGTGTGGCACTCGCCCCCGCGCAAGCCAGCGCGGTTGCCCCTCCACGCGAGGTGCAGCGTTTCTCCGACGGGCTTAGGCGACCCGTCCTACTCCGCCTCCTCCTCCTCCTCCTCCTCCTCCTGCCCCTCCTCCTCCTCCTCCTCCTCCTCCTCCTCCTCCTCCTCCTCCTCCTCCTCCTCGGGTCGCCTACGGCCCCGGGGGAAACCGTGCAACGCGAGGCCCGCGGTCACTTAGAATCGGGAGCCGGTGGCGCCGATGGCCCTTCCGATGGGCTGGACCTGAAAGGGGGCCCGTCGACTGGTCAGCGCTGGAAGCCTCGTCGATGTCGCAGGAGGACCTGGACAGCGTCTACACGTCGTTCATTTCTAATCGTGCTCATTTCTAATTCTGCTCGTTTCTAATTGTTCCTGGCCCCCTAGTGGCCAGGAAGAGGCCCAGGATAGAGCAATTAGACATGAAAGGATCTTGGCCCCCAAAAAATCAAAGAACCTTCGAACAACTAGAAATGAACAATGTGTACGCTTAGGTCGTAAAATACGTACAACAAATTGAAACGATCGTCCCCATACCATTTCCTGACGATTTGGGAACAAGGGACAGGCCCGACGTAAGTCTACGCACAGGTGATCACGGCGCTGGCGGTCCTGCGGCGCCACGGTCTCGTCGGAGGTGACGGCGCACGGTATCGGAGCAGTGGCAAGACCCTGTGGTGGCGCACAGTGGCCCAGCGGGCGCCGCGCACAGGTGGACACGTCTCGCAGTCGCGGCACGCGCTTGACTTGCAGGCGCTCGATGATCACGTGGGCGAGCTGTTCCACCTCGCCAGGCGCGCAGACGTGAGTGACTACCTACCACCTACCAGACCACCCCAACCCAACCCGAAGACGCGAATTTCGGGTTGGGGGGGCAAGGGTTCCACGCGTGTTTTTTCTATGTTTCCCGACCCCCCCCCACTGGAAATCGAGGGTAAATCTGAGCCTTCGGGTTGGGTTGGGGTGGTTTGGTGGGTGGTGGGTGAGCGCCAAGGACAGAGGCGAGGGTTGCCTCGCGAGCGCCTCCCGCGGCGGGCGCGCTGGATCCACGCCGACCTCGATCGTGGCAGCATCGAGGCCGAGTGGTGCCAGGAGCTGCGCGCCCGCGGGCTCCAAGCAAGTGGGGTTTCTCAGGTCGCCTTAAGGCAGATCGACGCCGTGCGCGATCGTCCGGGGTGCCGCAGGGCGCGCTGAGCGCGGCGATCGGGCTGCGGTGTGAGCACGGCTGCGGCGTCGCTTCGGGGAAGCCTTGGAGGCAAATGCCGGCTGCCTGCATAGGATGATGAAGCAACAGCGAACGTGGACCCCTGCAGCCAGGGGCAGCGCCGCGTCGGCCGAGCACCGGGCCATGTGCGAGGCCGAGATGGCGAAGTGGAACCATGCTTGGCAGGCCCACTCCAGGGACGTGCAGAGAGTGCCGCGCGCCTGGCTGGAGGGGGCTGCATATGATGATCCGCTGCCTGTGCTAGACAGGTCTACCGTGAGGGAGGTGCCAGGGCGCTTCAAGGAGCGCACGGGGCTGGGCGTCGAGAACTGAGCGGCGGCAGTGGACGCCTTCGCCCAGGTCCTCATGACGATCGAGGTCTCCCTTCTTTGGACTGGGCAGCTCAACCTCCTCACATACTTCATAGTCCCGAGGGCCGCTGGCGGCCTCCGACCGATCGGCAAGATGTCGACGCTGGTCTTGCTGTGGAAAGCTGCTCCCTTCCCCTCGATCTCGCAAAGGATAGCGCAGGCCACGCGGCCCTATGACTGGGCGCGCAGCGAGGGCTCAGCGGAGCAAGCTGTGCGGCGACCCCTTCTGGAAGATGATACGCTGGACCTCCAGGAGGGCCCTGACGGCGACGCCGCTACGACGGTGCTCCTGGACTCGGTGAAGTACCTTGAGCGGGTACGGCTGAAGCACGTCTGGGCTTGGGAGGTCCCCGAGCGTGTCATGCGCATGATGCTGGTGAGCTTCTCGGCAGCGCGGACGGTGGCTCTAGACGATTGCTACTCCAGTCGGGTGTCGGTAGTCTCTGCCATCGTGCCTGCCTCGAGGTTCGCCATGGGCCTTGCGACAACGCTCGCGAGGTTGCCTGTGGACCTGAACAAGTATGCGGACGACCTCGCTCTCGCCCAGTGGGGTCGCGCAGCCGGGGTCGCAGAAAGCATCGCAGAAGCGGTGACGTGCCCAGTCAGCCACCTGCGCGGCGATCTCGACCTCGAGGCCGGCCTCTCGCAAAGGAAACGAGCGGTGCGAATCCACAGTACCGGGCACTTCGTGCTGGTGGGCGCGGGCACTGCGCCTCCGCTCACGGCGCCTGGGCACCCGCGCGGCGCGCGAGGCGCGGCACCTGGGCCTGGACAGGCTCGGGCGCAGCGGGGCCTCGGGCGGCGGCTCATGCCACGGCCAGTGCGGCGCGGGCGATGGCAGGCCGTGGTCGACCGCGCCCGTCGGCTGAAGCGCGCCAAGGCTCCAGGCGCCGCGGCTTGGAACGTGGCGAAACTGGGCATCACGCCGGCAGCCATCTCTGGCCACAAAGCGCTGGCCCTCACCCCGCCCGAGGCCTGGCGCGTGCGGACGATGGTCAGCAGAGCGCTGCCGGCAAGATGCGCCTCAAGAGCGCGTTTCTTCGGCTCGCGTGCTTCGGCGAGGACCCAGGCCTCGAAAGCTTCGCGGCGCCGTTCGGGGAGTGGGCTGGGCAGGCATGGGATGCCGGGGTTGCCCCATCCCTCATGCAGGCGGCGTGGAGGAGGCAGCAAGTCGCGCTCCTCGGAGACGACATCTGGCAAGACCGGCGGGACCCAGCCTCCTCCGTCATCCTGACGGCGAAGATCGCCCCATAAACAGCCTCAATACTGTCCCGAGAGGTTATCGCAAGGCCTCAGGATGCTTACACACAGGCTCAAACATCGCCACCAGAAGCTTTGAGATGTCCCTAGGAGGCCTCGACATGACCCAGCAAGGTCCCCAGAACACCTCAGATTGGCTCGACATGGCCCCAAGATGCCTCAGCCTGGGAGGACGGCGGCAGAGGACGCAGCCCTCAAGATAGGAGTCCCCCAGTGCAATCAGATCGTCGATGGTCTGATAATAGCACATTCTCCAATTATCATCCCCAGTGCACCCAGGATCTATAATCACCGAGCAACCCATTGATGCTGCCCTTTTGGTGCACTTTGTCTCCATGTTCTCCTCGGACATCACGAGCGAAGTATCGCAAGTGTCTTCGGCGGCATCGCTAACCATGGGACCGACCTGGAGGAAGAACACCTTGCATAAACATAAACTTTCGGAGGTCCGCGCGAATCTCTTGGACCGTCGCTGGACCCCCCTCCATGGGGTGGCGCCGGAGGCGCCGCCAGGGGGCTCAACGCCGATCCAGGAAATCCGCTCGGGGCGCCAGAAGTTCACGTTTATGCTGTGTTCTTCCTCGGCGACCACGTAAGTGTACTCGTCATCCCTGTGTGCCCGACTTGTCTTCACGAAGGACGCCCTGCTGGCTAGGCTGCCCAGCACCTGGTGAAAGAGGTGCTGCGCTCTCGGCAGCGCCGTGACGTGTTGCAGCCACGCCTGGACGCGATGGTCCCCGTGCAGGTACAGGCGGCTGCCCGCGGACCTGCAGAGCCTCGAGGGCGCCGCGGGGAAGTGCGCCGTGTGCGCGTGCGCGGGCAGTACGGCCGCGCCGCGGGGGGAGCGCCGCGGGGAAGTACGCGCGCGACGCGTACGCGTCTGCGACGACAGCAGGGCCGCGGAGGCGGCGGACTCGCTGCACCTGTGGGCGACTCCGTAAGCATACATACTTTCGGAGGTCCGCGCAGATTTCTTGGGTCAGTGCTGGACCCGCCTCCCTGGCGGAGCGGGCCAGGGGCGGCGCCAGAGACGCCGCCCGAGACGCCGCCAGGCGGGCCTTGGCGCAGAAACAAGAAACCTGCGCGGAGCTCAGCGAGCTCATCTTTGCGCTATTTCTCTCTTGAGCCTGGTGTAGTTCACGAGCCCCATGGCGACGTTTGTGTCATTCTCGAGCGCCAGCAGCAACTTCTCGTCCGCCAACCTCCGCGCTACGCGCTCCGCAACCTGTCGGTCGTTGGCAAGACGGCGTGTACCGGGGGACACCCCCCGCCTCATTCCGCGAACCGGCAGTGCCGCCACCCGAGGAACCACCAGTTACGGCAGACCTCGTTTAGTGACTCTGGTCAACCGTTTGCGCCTCGGGACCAATCTAATCCGCTCCCCTTGCACGGGGTCCTGGCTATATCCCTAACCCGGGAGAGCCAAGAATCGAATCGATAAGTGAAGTCGGATCGGCGATCGAAATGAATCGGATCGGCGGAAATCGACAGCAGAGTCGGGAAACATCGAATCGGTGGACATCGGCAGGCCAGTAACCTCAGCTGGTCTTTAGTTTTGGTGCTCACCCTGTTCTTTCGACGGCGGATAAAATTCGACCTGATTTCCCCTCCTCCTCCTCCTCCTGCTCCTGCTCCTCCTCCTCCTCCTCTTCCTCCTCCTCCTCCTCCTCCTCCCACCTCCTCCTTCTCCTCCTCCTCCTCCTGCTCCTCCTCCTGCTCCTCCTGCTCCTGCTCCTGCTCACCTGCTGCTGCTCCTCCTCCTCCTCCTCCTCCTCCTTCTCCTCCTCCTCCTCCTCCTCTTCCTCCATCTCGTCCTGCTCCCCCTCCTGCTCCACCTCCTCCTCCTCCTCCTGCTCCACCTCCTCCTCTCCTGCTCCTGCTCCTGCTCCTGCTCCTGCTCCTGCCCTGCTCCTCCTCCTCCTCTCCTCCTCCTCCTCCTCCTCCTCCTCCTCCTCCTCCTCCTCCTCCTCCTCCTCCTCCTCCCCCGCTCCTCGTCGCGGCGGATATTATTTTCACTTTGTTGTTGGGCGGGCTGGATCATGTTTGGGGGATTCTTTCTCCCAGGAAATAATCCAGCGTGGGCTACCCTACACTCGAGAGGATGTGTGAACATCTTCTCCGAAGGATGGCAATCGGAACCAGTGGTCATGTGTGTAGTCGTGATTGTGGTCATGGCTGTAAAGGTGATTGGAATCATGATTAGAATCGTAATTCTAGTCGCAATCGTCGTCGTCGTCGTCGTCGTCGCCGTCGCCGTCTTCGTCGTCGCCATCGCGGCAGATCTTATTTTCCCACTAATGCTCTCCGCGCTGGATCATGTTGGGGGATTCTATCCCCTCGTGGATAATGATCCATGGGCTACCCTGCACGACAAAGGAGTGTTGATCACGTTTGTGAGAAGATTGCAATCTAGATCGATACATTACGCGCCGAAGGCGGAGCTCACAGTATACTGCTCGTAATCGCAGCCGCAGCCGTAGCCGAAGTCGAATCGTGATCGTAATCGTCGTCCTCGTCGTCCTCGTCGTCGTTGTTGCGCGGCGGGTGCCGCGGAGAAATGGTTGTTTCTTTTCCACCATTGGTGGGGCCCCAGTCCGTCAATAAGGCCGCTGAGGAAATAGTTCATTTTCGCTATCAGGGGGATTATGAAGACCTATAGAGATTATGCCTTCAATGAAAGATCGGAAAATCGGAATCCAAAGTCGAATAGGATCGGAATTGGAAGCCATCGAAGTAGAATCGAATCGAATCGCAAGAATCGAAACGAGCCCTGGAAACCTGGCTCTCGCGGCGGCGCCGGAGCTCAGCAAAGTGTTCGTCCACCTCCTGCAGCCCCGCGGCCGCCGCGGCGCGCTCGCCCTCCTGCCTGGACGACTGGTCCGACAGCCGTGCGATGTCCGCCGCGAGCTGCCGGCGCCTCAGCTCTGACTGCTCCTCTGAGGCGCAGCAGGACTTGCAGCCGAACAAGATTAAGGAACATTGCGCGTTGATAAATTTGGACCAGCTTCCCATAAATTTCTTGAAACAAGCCTGGGCCAATTTCTGTTGTTAACGCTAAGGGGGCGACCGTGCTCAAGAAACTGGACCAGCTTTCTGTCACATTGGTTGAGAAGCGCTGGCCCAGCTTCCCGGGAGGAGGCTTCTTGATCAGATGCTTGACTGTACTACGGTCGGCGACTTCTGGATAAGGAGTCATTGGACAAAGCATCCAGGGTCTGGAGGCCAGTGGGACGCCAATTGAGGCTTGGACCCAATTATCGCCGCCGCCCTCATCAGGTCAGGAACCCTGCAGGGCCTGGAACCTCCTCGTCGCATTCCTTCACGAATGCTCCAGCCGTGTGCGCGCCACTCGGAGGCGCACGCCCGTGCCGAGCACGCAGCACGAGCATCTGACGACGCGTCGCTAACCAGGCGGTGTGGCTAGACTTAGGTCGGGCATGTCCCCCTACAGGCAGATGTTGGGCGAATGCTTAAACATACGCAGGAAAAGAACAAAAAAATGATCAACAAATAATCAAACAATCGTCCCCGGACTAGTTTTCGACTATTTTTGAATTTTCCTCCTGTAGAGGGACGCGCGTTGTGGCTAGACAAAGCGCCCCCCCCGGGAATCCCCTGTAAGACCCCGGAGCGCGCGCACGTGTGTTTGGGTGCGGCCGATCCTCCGTGATGCTGCGCTCGGCGCGCAGCTGGTCCAGGCTGACCCACGCCTCCCGAGCGGCGAGCATGTATGAAGGGGCCCAGGGACACACATACACACACACAAATACCCATATTCCCCGTCTGTTCTCGCATTTGGGGAGAACCTCGTCTTCCCCCCACTTCCCATACTTTCCCATATTTCCCTGGGGATCGACGACTGATTGTTTCTTTGTGTTCTTTCCCCTCCTGAATGTGTCCGTATCCGTGCCCTCGCGGCTTGGATTCCTGGGCGCCATCCCGCGCAGACGCGGTCACACGGACACGTTCTGCGCAGGACATCCGCGAAGCATTGCCAAGCATCCGCGTGGTCGCGGCCCAGGGTTCCGGCTCGCGAGGCCGCGGGTATGCATGCGTATGTGTTCATTCGAACCCTACGTGACCCCCACCAACCAGCGATTCTTCTGAATCGATGGGGGCAGGGGTAGGGTTCGGATTTCGCCACGTGTTCGGTGAATCCCGCACCCTACCCCCGTTGCGCATCGAGTTGCCCGAGTCGTGGATCGGCGAAGGTGCTGGTCCCCTGGTGGTTTTCGGGTCATAACTCGGGTCTCCGGCGGCCGTTCGGGACGATCCTGGCACCCCTCGAACGCTCTCGGTCAGGCGCAGCCGCCAGAAGGCATCCCGAGGCTGGAAAGCCGCCGAGAGCTGACGCAAACGCAGGAAAACTCGAACCTCGAACTTCGAACGCCGCCGAACGCCTCCAGGATCCGCTCGTTCAGCTCGGCGATGACTGCGGTGACGGAGTCCTCCGACCGTGCGTCGGCGCCGCCTCTCCTCGGGCGGCGAGAGATGGCTGGCAGGGGGCGGCCCGCTGCCCAGGCCAAGGGTGGAGGCGGGGGGGTCTGCGGAGCGCGCGGGGGCTCGTCGAGACAACCCCAGGGCCACTTTCGGCAGCACCCGATCTTGCCCCCCCCCTTTAGCCCGGGGCCCACGGTCTGGAAGAACAGGCGCGCCCGCTGCAGGACTGGGAAACGCAGGGGTGGTAGAGCGAGGATGGGGCGTGAGATCCTCCGGACAGCTTCAGGGGATGAGGGAGAGTAGTATTCATACGGATTAATTGTCGAGGGGGAGGGGGAAGGGAAGGGAAGGGGGGGAAGGACAAGCGCGCCCGTTGCAGGTCTGGGGAACGCACGGGTGGGGGGAAGAGCGAGGAGGGCGGCCGCCATCGGGGCATAGCAGACAAGCGGCATGCTGGTGCCGCACCGACCCGAACCCCCACCCCCACCAACCAGCGATTCCCCCGAAATCGATGTGAGGCGAGGGTGGGGTCCAGATTTCGCCGCGTGCTCGACGAATCCCGCACCCTACCCCCGCCGCCAATCGAGTTGCCCGAGTCGTGGGTCGGCGAAGGTGCTGGTCCCCTGGTGGTTTTCGGGTCATAACTCGGGTCTCCGGCGGCCGTTCGGGACGATCCTGGCACCCCTCGAACGCTCTCGGTCAGGCGCAGCCGCCAGAAGGCATCCCGAGGCTGGAAAGCCGCCGAGAGCTGACGCAAACGCAGAAAAGCTCGAACCTCGAACTCCGAACGCCGCCGAACGCCTCCAGGACCCGCTCGTTCTGCCCAAATCGTGGATCGGCGAGGGTAGGGTTCGGACTTCGCCGCCAGCTTTGCGCCCGCGCCGAGGTCTCCGAATGACCCCGTGCTGCGAGAGCACGTGGGCCGCGCCAGCCTGCGGGAAAGGGCAAAAATCTGGCGGAAGGCCCACCGGACGGAGCCCCTGTGGCGGCGACCGGATGAGCTCCAGCCGAATTTGGCGCCGCCCGACAGGAGGCAGAGTCCAGTGGGAGGCCCATCCGATGGAGCCCCTTGCCCCGAGGTGCGACGTCGCGAAGGAACACGCCGCGAACACAACAACCAACATATCTGACAGATCACAGCAGGAGCCCTGGACTCCGCCTTTCTGCGGCACCTCTCGACACGGATCGATCTGCGAGCGGCCCCCATGGGCTACATTCAAGGCCCTAGGCAAGGGTGACCTTTGGTGCGCGGCTTTAGGGGGCCGCGGGGTCGCCAAACATGAGCGTGCAGGCTGGTGCTTGGAGGGCCCTTGAGGGCCCGCCGCACCAAAGGTCACTCCAGCGAAAGGCCACTCTTACACGTTGCCGACCACTGCGCCCGATCGACCAGGATATGTTGTTGTCATTATTATTCCTGGGTAGCGGTCGTTACCCGTGGGGGGGGAGGGGGGTTCAGCCAGGAGGGGAAACTAAACACAGACACAAATAATTGTCGATTCCATAGAAACTATAAGAATATATGGGAACTGGAAGGGAAGACGACAGTCCAGAACATGTAAGAAAATATGGGTCATCCTGGGATTTATGTTTATTCATTTGTGTGCCCCTGGGCCCCTTGGGCTGGGCCCCAGGGTCACCGTAAAGCTTGGGCGGGTTGGGGCACGTCGGGGCGGGGCGCGCTGCGATCGCCGTTCGTCGGCGCGCGAACGCGAGCATGTGGGGGAGGCCCAGGCACACCCCCCTGCGCACGATCGTTGCGGCCACCCTGGCGGGGGGGGAGGGGCCTGGCCTGGGTCACGCCCGCTACGCGCCAGAGGATAAACTAAAAAGCAGTCTCTAGTTGTGAGCACCGAGCGAGACAAGTACGCGTCGCCCGGATCTCGAGACAGGGTCCGGCCCCCACTGGACCCAGCGCTGCCCGACGCCTGCGACGAGGCCCGCAGGACGCCGTGTGCTCGCCGCGGCGCCCGGGCCTGGCGGTACAAGAACTGGACAAGCATACACTTTCGCAGCTCCGCGCGGATGCCCTTGGATCGGTGCTGGACTTCAGAGGAAGACGCAATACCGATGCCACTAATCTTTTCTCGTTTTCGATGTTTGGGCCTTCTGAAAGGTCATCGTCGCCACGGCTGGGTTCGCCTCGAAATCCTGCTCATAACGCGCCCCGGGAGAGGTCCACGGAGTGGCGGTATCGGTACCTTCGTGGTTCCCCCAGATCGGCGCTGGACCCCCCCGTGGCAGCGCCTCCGACGCCGCCCCCGGCTCGCTCCGCGCACACGAGGCCAGCGCTAGCGGTACTTCCTCCTCTGAGGTCCACCGCCGATCCGAGAAATTCGCGCGGACACCTGAAAAATTACGCAGCACCCCGCAATTCCGGATACGAGTGAAGAGGCGGGCGCGTGGTGGGTCGCGGGGTGGGTCGCAAGACGGTCGCGGGCGGGTCGCGGGGGGGACGACGACAAACCACAACACACCGACGCAACGCAGCAGCATCACGAATCCGCGAAGCGGAATATCCAGGCAACAGCGACGCAACGCAGCATCAACACGAATCCGCGCAGCGCAGAATTAGCGCAACAGCAACAGCAACGCAACAACAACAACAACAACAACAACAACAACAACAACAACAACAACAACAGCAACAACAACAACAACAACAGCAGCAGCAGCAGCAGCAGCAGCAGCAGCAACAACAACAACAACAACAACAACTTCAACAACAGCAACAGCAACACAACAGCAGCTTCGACCACGCATCCAGGGACAACGAAGGACCGTTCGGCCCCATCACTCTTGGACGAGCGCGTTCCATGACTCGCAGAGTAACTGCTCGCAAACGGCCTCGATCCGCCGCGGGGAATCTACGATCCGCTCCATCGAGGCGAGCATGTGATTTTAAGACGTTTGCGAGTAGGCACTTTGCGAATAGGGGCACGCGCTCTAGGCATTCTGATGCTCATGCCGTCTGTTTGCTCTTCGATGGCCGACGCCGCGGGCTGGCCCAGCAGGGCCACCGCCAGGCACACGAGCTGCGGCAGCGGAGGCGTTGCGCGCAGCCCCGGCCGCCCCAGGGGCGAGGGCCGGCGGGGCCGCGTCATGCCGACCGCGCACCCGGCTGCATTGGCGGAAAGGGGCAGACACCGGGCGGTCCGGGAAGACCGCCCCGCCCTTGGGCCAGAGCAGCGACAACGATCACAACGGTCACAACGATAACCACGGTCACACTCCACCTGCTTCTTTCTCCTCCTCCTCCTCCTCCTCCTCTTCTTTCTTGCGCCCTGGCTCGGATCCTACCGAGGACAGCCGCCTTGCACGGTAAATGGTGCCCAGAATCGCTCGAATGAAACTGCGCAGTCGTTTAGTGCTATCAATTACGCTGTGAATGAGGATATCGGCCTTGTCATGTAAATGCCCTTTTGCGCCAAGCGCACGATCTGTCGTCCGCACTTTGTCTGCAAATGCGTTTCCAACACCCACGCTGCAGCATAACATGTTCCAACGCGAGCGCCCCCATCACAGTGCATGACGAAGCTTGCCTCTGTCAGCTCAGTGTTTCGATCAACTGGAGGGGTCAACTCTTCCTGGGATTGTTTGGTATCCAAGGTCTTGTTCGCGAGGTGGTCGGCTATCTTTTTGGAATCGCGACTGCGCCACAAAATCGGGTTGACATGCGAGTGCACAGGTAACACGCCCCAACATGAAATTAGCCAGACTCTGCGTCAACCGTCTGGAAGCGGGCTGCAAGGAACAATCGGTGAGCGGATGGGCGCCCGTAGCAATGCCCACCAGAGGTTTGCAATCGCAGATGATGATAAATTTTCGACGTAGGCTTTCCCGATCAAGAGTATCAAGTTCTAAGTATCCATTCGAATGGTCCCCGGGGCGTCCTGCAAAGTATGGGCCGTGCTTTGTGTGCTTCGTACCCCCGCATGCTGAAGAACGTCATTTTGCCCCGCCGTTCCTGGCCCTAAGTTGGACAACCCGTACTTTTCGCAGGGATCAACCGCAAATTGCCCAAATTCGCGCATCCAGTGTGCTTCGGTAGGAGATGCATCTCGTCGTGTCCGCCAATCGAACCCCAGCCTGTCACATAACATGCTCTCCCAGTGCGTGTACATGCCCGAAAACGCGTGCAACAAATGCTGCTTTTTTACGCCGGTTGTCATCATTTAAGCTGCATCAATGCTTCCACCTATCCCACCATAAACGCTCACGAAACTGTCGACAACATGATGAATACTTGTGTAACTCATGCAATGGGTATAACAACTCTCTCCATGCATGTTTGCATACGGCGCGTAGAGTTCTGATGTACAACAAATAAATTGCTGGAAATACTTACTGGTCGACAGCGAAGTGCGCCCGTTGAACAACATTTGCGTCTCTTCCAGCTTGCGGCGCCAGTGAAACATCTTTCGAAGAAGGCTCCGCCCCCAGACTTTCAACCTGGTCAAGATCGCCCCTGACAAGTGCCAACAACTGGAGCTAAATCTAGCTGACGCCCTCTGCTCCAAGCTGGCAACTTGCTTCGGATCGAGCCCAGTCCTCGGAAAACGCGTGAATGTTTCCAGAATAGCGCTGACGCCCTGCACACCCGATGTCCCAAGGGAGTGCAACTGTCACCGGCATATGACGACCTGGCTCCCAACGCGTCCATCTCCTGCACACGCGTGCAGACGCAGTCGGCACGCCCAGGTACGCGCAAGCTTTGAATGTCGAGCCGGTGCAGAGGCCCACATAATAGGGACTGCAATAACGAAACCTTCCTTTCGAAACCGTATTCGCGCACCGCTTCCGTCAGAGTAGTCACCATGTGGCTGAATTATGACATGTTTCTGGCTATTCAGAAGATGTTGTCCGCCCAAGCAGGATGAGTAAGTGCAGCCCCGTTTTCGAATCCAAACCCCAGCCCTTCGGACGACCGTTTTGTCGCCAGGGGTGCCACGATGCAATCGACCATCAAATTAAAAAGATCTGGCGTTTCAACTCAGCCCTGTTTGCCTCCGGTAAACATATCGAGAAACATCGGGCGCCTTGGACCCAGGAAAACATATCCTCCCCGACACGCCAGAAAGCTCTCTCATGACAGCCCGGATGAAATTAGGATGCGCCCCTCTCGAAGCGAGGTCCGCGGATATCTTCTCCTGCAGCATTCTCTCAAATGCCGCCCTGACACTCGCCGCTCCCACGACGAGCTCAACTCCCCAGCGATTTGCCATCGCAATAGCTTGAAACAAGACGAAAATAGTGTCCTCACAATTGCACCCAGGCCTGACACCCAAAACGGCGATCTTCTGAGAGTACCGCAACTGAAATAACAATGGGCACAAGCTCCTGATATGCCATTTGGCCATGCTGTCCTGCATGCCGAGTCAACGAAAGCCATCGAAATCGCAAGGTTTCGGGATCTTAAGGATACCGCGAAAATCGATCTTACTCCATGTAGGCGGGTCGGCAGACCGAAATGACAAATACCTTTCCCGGAACGACTGCCAAACAGAAGCCACCAAAGCGAAAGGCCGTGCGCGATAAACTTCCGGTGGTGCACCGTACACTCCGTCAGCCGTGCCTCTGCGGAGCCCTGCCCATCCGGACAAAGCGTCGATGACATGCAAGTCTGGCGGCCGCATTCCGTCCAGCACCTGATTCTCTGAAACCGCACGCAACACGTTTAGACGATGCTGCTGATCTGCATGAGCGTTGCCAGGGTATTCATGAGCGTTGCCAGGGAGCAAGATATGGCTCGACGAAGGTTTTGCTGACCCGCGGCGTGAACTCGCTGGTTAAGCATTCGCGGGCCTGCCTTGAGACGCTACCGCTACCCTTGGCGCGGTTTCGCCCTTTGAGGCCTCTTGTGAGGCCCTCGTCGTCACCGCTGGATTCGCCTCGAAATCCTGGTCGGAGCGCACTTCCTGGGAGGGATCTGGGGAGAACCGATATTGGTGCATGTCCGCCCCCCTCCTAAAGACCGCCTTGCCCCTGGGCCAGAACGGCCTGCAGCCAAGAACTCCAAACCGTCCGTTCCCGCAGTGAGTAGACCGGTGCATTTTCGCCACACGTTGCGCCACATGTTGATGCCGAAACCCTGCCGGGCACCCGAATCGTCCGTTGCCTCAGAGGGTGCGCCCTGCGTTGCGGCAGACATCCCTTAGGCAACCAGATGGACCGTTGCGTGAGCGGGTACATGCCAAAGGTTGCGCAATAGGCGGCGCCGTGCTCCGCGCGGGCATCACATCGTCCGTTGCCCCAGCGGGAGGGCCCTGGGTTGCGCCATTTGCTTCGCCAGACAACCGCGGGCAACCAGCAACCAAATCGCCTGCTTCCTCAGCGGGCTCCCGCCCCGACGACGACGACGACAAGGAGGACGAGGACAAGGACGACGACGACGCCCGCTGCTCGGGGGGAACCGGCGGCTTCTCGACGCCCCGCGTTCGGGCTCCGGGGCCACTGGGCGAGCGACGAAGGGTCAGTCCCGGGGAGGGGGCCGAGAGCTCCGAAGGAAGACGCAGTGGACAGCCTCAGTCTGTAACCTCAGTGCATCGGAGGTCCGGACCCCTCGCCGCCACTGGGCTGCTGCGTGGCGCTCATAGCGGACCTCTGGCGCCGTGACCTTTGTCACAACGCCCAGCCCGGGAGATGTGGACCACATCCCCGGGGCCGGCATCTCATCCGCTGAGTCGGCGTTGATGGCCCCAGGACCTGGTACGGTGGGCACGTACGGTAAGTCTTGCTACAAAGAATGTATGTTGGGACGCATTCTTCGTCGATCGTTGAGGACCCGTCCTTGGGGCCACTGGGGGAGAAGAAGTTTCCGTGGGGCGCCTCTCAGACGCGGCCAGACCCCGGACGCGCCCAGATCCCGACAGAAGGACCCCGACGAAAGGACCCTTGTTGGCCGAACAAGGCCAGAAGCCGTCCGCCGTGGTTTTTGTCGCGGCGGGCGGAGGCCTGGGCCAGCACGAACGTGTTCGCACGCTCTGCCGCTGCGCAAGCGATCCTATGCGAGAGGGCAGGGTGGCCGCTCAGCTCCAGGCGCTGCCCCCCTTCGCCGCCATCTGGCTGCGGACCGACGAGCCGATGAAGTTCAGCAGGAACGTGTTCTGGTTCTGCTGGTGCGCGATCCTCTGCATCTCCTCGATGGACTCCCCCTCGAGGTGGGCCCAGGACAGGGAGACCACGCCGGCGACGTGGCCTCTGGATTGCAGAAGAACGTGCTGGAACTGCGTGCCGTCAGAACCGAACATATGGCACGAACATCTCCGAGCGTGCCGTCACACGGGCGGTGTGGCCAGACGAGCGCCCGCCACGGAGCACACCGCCATCGCGCTGTTACAGACGGAGCGCTGCACAAGCAACGCCGGGGCCTCTCTGGCTCCCACTCGCCACACGATCGGTGGATCTCTTTCCTCACCTCCTCCACCTCCTCGGCGTCGTCTTCCGCCTCCTCATGCGGCCTCACCCCTGCTGGAACGCCCCGCATGGTACAAGCATGCTTGGGTGACTGAATGGGGCTCATGGACACACACACACACACACGAATAAATGCCCGCTAATGCAGAGATTCCATGAAAGTGTTTCCACAAGATTTTCTGGACCCTCGTCTTCCTCACCGCGCCCCATATTTCTGAACATCTTTTCATCGGAATCGGCGCTCATGCGTGCCTGTCTTAGGTTTCCCTCCTGACGCTGGCCTCCAGCGGGGGGCACGAGGGCAGGGCTCCCGAAGGCGGTCGACGCCGAGCTCCGCACCCGCGCGAGCGAGCCCTCCAGCGCGAGCGCGGCGCTGGTGGAGGTCGCGCCCTCCTCTGCGCAACGAGAATATATGCACAGACGCCCTCACTGTCGCCTCCTTTCCAGTGGCTCTCTCCTGGCTCCTACCAATCCATGATCGAGGGGGCTGCGCAGGGGGGCCCCCGACCACCGTCGACCACCCACCCACCCCACCCGCACCAGCAGAACGGAACCCGAAGGCCAGGGCCGCCTTGCTGGCGAAGGGAGGAGGCCCAGGTGCCTGGCTGCCCCTCAACCACCACCCCGCGGGGGCACTGGGCCGATCCTCCAGGCCGTCCTCGGACAGAGGGGGGAGGATAAACAAATATCGAACTACTTACACAGCTGGCCCCACCACTCGGCCGCTTCAGTGGTGTCATCGGCTGGGCTGGGGGCCAGGGCTTGGAGAGGTGTAAGCCTTTAGGCCATGGGCACCTCCCTTTTCAGAATCTGCGCGCGCTGATTCTCGTAAACTTGGTTGCAGGGGCCCGCCAACTTCCGGGGGAACCCCGAAGTGTAGGCCCCGCATTCTAAACAAAAAACTCAAGGTAAACCTGCTCCTTCCAACGAACCGTCGTAAACTTCATGAAGACATAATGGGTGAGAGGGGCGAATTTCTACCAGCGACTTCAAGCTGAGGGTTAAAGCTGTACGCTTGCCTCTAACCCTCTGCTTTGAAACGATTTGGCGCACTTGATGCACCTCCAACACAAGCCGTTCCAAAGCACGCGGTGGGGACGGCCACAAGGCAAAACTTTCGGCCCCGGGGCCCTGGGCTCCTTGGCCAACTCCCCGAAGAGCTCTTTCGCCGCCGGGATGTCTCCCAGACGCAGACTCGTTCCTACTGCCACCTCCTCCCAGCCCGCAAAATGCACTTCATACAGATGGTTGTCTTGAAACACGCGCGCACGGTATGAATGCACTCCGTCCCTGGCGTGTTCGTCTGCCTTGTCGTTCCCCGCCCCGTGGCGGACTGCGATGCCTGAGCGCTCTGATCGAATGTGCACCTTGACCTTGTTTAGACTGAGAGCAAGTACTCTTGACCTGTCAAGGGCACGCCATAGTTCTGACAGCGGGCTGGCTCCTGAGAGGGCGGCGAAGGGCCAGTTGTAGCCTCCGAACAAGGCCTGGCAATCGATATGCACTTGATACGAGTCTGTGGAGTCTTTTTTAAGGACTCGAGGTGCTGAACGCCCGAGAGGAGACCGTAGACTTCACCAAAAGCAGCGCTCCGAGGAAGGAATCCAGGAACGCTTCCAAATATGCCTCTGGGGAACTTGCCCTGGTCGTCCACTGAGACAGAGCCCCACGCCGCCCGAGCTACATGATCATGAGAAGGCCCTCTGCAGGACCCATCGCTGTACAGATGTCCGTTCAGGTTGAACTTGAAGGGTGCTGTGGGCCCGTCAAGCCCGACATAATCGATTTTCCCAGCCCAGGAGGCCTCGTGAATGCCACCGGGGGTTGGGGTGCCATAAACAGCTGGAAAAAACAAATCCTGGTCGCCTGCCTCGAGACCTGCTTGTGCTCATTCGGACGGTATGCGAGCTACTGGATTATCGGCAACTCCTGGACGCTGGAAAAACCTGTGCCAGGCGCTGTCGATGGTGCCTCCAGCCTCCAGCGCCCTGGTGACAAAAAGGGCAAAGTGGCGCCACCTGGTAGCCCCATTCGTGCAGGTGGTTGGCAATAGTACAAGACCGAATGAACGCTTGCTTCATTACGCGTTTCAGAAGCTTCGGGCGCACGGAGTTCCAGAAGACCCTCGGGAGTGAACCCAGAGGCCCCTGTCCAAAATCTCCTGCCCACGCTCGTGTTCGCAGTCTCCCAACCTTCTCTGCATAGCCTGTGATACGCACTCGTTATCTAGGCCCCTCACGACGTACATCGATACCGCGCAGTAGGGAACGCCTGAAAGTACGCACGAAGAGCCATCTCTCATAAAAAATCCCCGGGCCACGAATCGACCAGCCCGCGCAGTCAAACCAGAGAAGCATATCGCCCACAGTTTTCAAATATGCTTGTGGGCGAATAAGTTGATGTTGCTTCACCGTCTTGACAAGCCTGCAGAATTCAACCGCAGAAATACAGTCCCCTGGCTGGATCTTGTCACCGGTAAATCGCCAGAGCTCCTTTGCAAAGCGGGTCAGGGTCACGCCGGAGTGCTTGATCGGGCCCCTGCGTGGCTCGAGCGCGGAATCAAGGTTGAGGTCGGCCCCGCAAGTCGCGAAGCCTAAACAGCCAGCTGCCCGATACCTCAATATTCAAATCTCTCTGGGAATCCACCCCACCACCTCCTCTCCATGCGTCGCGGCAGGTTTGGCCCCGCAGAACCACACGTTGGCCCTGGACCTCCTGGGGCCCCTCAAACTTCGAATGTTTGCCAACCTTTGTTCTCCGTTTCTCCACTTCCCCTCCCGTTCATTTTTGGCCCCGGACACTTTCTTGTGCTTGCCCGGGGCGAAGTCTGCTCCAACGTTGATGGTCACTGGAGTAAACTTCCCAACGCACTGGCTCAACTGCTGTTGCGCCAGCTCGACCAACTCGCGGTTGGATCCCGCGATGCCAAACTCGCTAGCGAAGCGGAGGTTGAACTTCGCTGAAAGCTGCTCCACTAGAAAAGCCATGGCCAGCGCCATGTTGCGCACGCAGCCGCCGATAGAAGCATTGTACTCGTTCACACCAAAATCGTCGATGTGCGCTGCTAATGTGGGTGTGAAGCCTCGATCTAGGTATGTGTGACAGTGGGTATACAATAACACTTCATAGCTTTGCCCGCCGCGACCCCTTGCCCGGGATCCGCCCCATCTGGAAACATGCCCTCTGCGCCCAGTGCCCTCTCCCACGCGTGCGTGTGCAATGCGAACCTTGGCGCGCGCCAGGGATGCCATTCGCGTGCCGCTGTGACCAAGGGGACGTGCTGCATGTGCTCATAACATGGTTGAAGACCGCATAGTTCGCGTGCAACGTTTAAATATGCTCATGCCTGCTGCCTCCGCGCGGTGTCTGAAGGGCCCCTGCCCAGGCGCCGTCGGAAAGATCCCCAGGTCCGACATTGTCTTCTCCTACCTTCGGCAACCCTGAAAGTGCCCGCGAGAAATCATGCGGATCAAACTCTGGAAGAATCCAATCGGGAGCCTGCCTTTGATCGTCTCCTGGAAGAAGGCCGCTATGCATTTCCCCATCAAGCTCGGGGTTGGGCCCGGCGCAACGCTCGAGGCTGGTCGCAACAAGAGCATGACACGTCGAGGATGATATCCGCCCGCTGCGATCGTAGCACGCTTGAAAGATTTGCTCAACTCTATGATGTGCTCTGGCGAGGGAGAAGCTGGGGAAATCAAATCTGCAGGCCACAACTCCCTAGAGATCTCCCCCTTCTGATCCCCCCCCCAAGCCTTGCGCCGCATCTCCGCCTCCTCCCTCAGCAGGCTGGTGACATGAGATGCGTGGCTGCCGTCGTCCGTCGGCAGCATCGCCTGGCGCTTGTCGGCCGCGACCTCTGCGTAGGCGCGCGCCCGCTTGGCCCCGCCCGACAGCGCCTCGGCGCGCCAACCTTCCATTTCCGGGTGCATGCGCGTCGCTCTCGGGGGGGGGGGGGGGGGGGGGGGGCGTTTGGGAGCCTGGGGACGAGCCGACGAATAGAGGGCCTGCAGCCCCTCTTCAGCCATTCCCGACATCGAAGGGGTTCTGGAAACCGAAGGGGGCGCAAAACATTCCCCAGCGGCCCCAGCCAGGGATCCCTTCCACCAGGGCAATGATACATGAAAATGCCACCTTATTTCGCAGCGCCAGAACTGGATCGGACAAGGCTTATGGAATATTCAGAAGACCCCAAATACTTGCCATTACTCACCAGGGCGAACAACTCTTGGGCCCTTTCAGCGATCTCTTGTGTCTCGCGAGCTCGGCCCCCTTCTACGCCCGGGAAGATGGCGACGCGGGGCGCCTCGGGCCGCCCCCCCAAGGCCCACCGCGCCACTGCTCGTGGGTCTCGTCGAGGCCCTGCTGCAACATCAGGACGTCGTGCGCGGGCGGCATGCGGCGGCTCTCTTGGATCTCCACGGGCTGCGTGAGCCGGGTGAGCCTGTCCCCCCAGTCCCTGTATTCTAAGGCCTTTGGATTTGGCCCGATCGGCTGCCCAACTGGCAGCGTCGCGAAATATTCGGGTGGCGGACCTTGATCTGATCTACGCCAGCTCGAAAGCGAAGCAGAACGGGCCGATGCTGAAGACATCTGTGTTCATGGCGGCCCGTGCCAGCTCCGCTGCAGGAAGCGCAGACTACGCCAATCAAAAATCGCAACATCTGCTTGTCGTTGCCGACATGCATGTTGCCAGCGGAAGTAATGTCGCAAACAGTCCCCTCATTTTATGCGGTGAGAGGCCCCCCGTGAAAACGTTCGGCCCCCAGTTGTGACCCCCCTTCAACGCGCGGCAGATTGTCTTGACATATCCCGTCCTAGAGCCTGCGCTGCGACGGTCTTCGCGGGCCCCAATTCCTATCCGCCAGCCCAAAGCCCATAATGCCAAGCGCGCGGCTGCGAGCAAACACTTGGCGCAAGCGGTGCGGCGCGAGCGGTTCCTCGCGGCCTGGCGCCTGCCATGCGTCGAGGCGGGCCCGGATGAAAATTGCCACCCCGCTGCACTTCCCGCCCTTGGCGGCGACGCGGCAAGGCGCTCGGTGCGACGCCCCGCCCAACTTGCGAACTGTTTCCCGCTCATCCCACGCATCCTGGCCATGTAGTTTAATTTCTTGTAAAAGTACGACGTGAGCCTCACTCTCGGGAATATTTACCTTTGCAGGATACCAGCTTTTGCCGTTGATTGCGCGGACCTGCGAGCCATCCTTGGAATGCCCCGCCGCGCGTTGTCCGGGCTGCCGCCTGGGCGGCGCCTCGCCCTTCGACCGAGACCCCCTCGACTCCTCGCGCCTGCGCTTCGCTGCGTTCTCGGCCTCCGACTCTGCAGCCCCGCGCTGGCCCGCGCGGGCCTGCTCCACCTCGGCGTCTGGTGGCTCCTGTTGCTCCTTTGCTGCTGACGACTCTGCCTCTGCTGCCTCGTGGGGACCGGGATGTGATGCTTCTGCTTGACCTGCTGCTGCATGGGGCTCCGCTGAGATGCCAGCGACGCCTCGAATCTGCGCTGCGACAGCCATCATGGGCACTTGCAACTCTTCTGCTAGTGCATTCGACAGGTCGTGGAACAGAAAACTCATACTGTTTAAAAGTGATTGCGCTGAGGAAATTGGAGCCTTCATCGTCATGGCTGAGAGCAGTGCGCCTTTGCCCCCTTGGGGTTGAAGTCCAGGGGGGTCGCCGACGCACGGGTCCATCCTCGCTCTCTGCTGCTCCACCAGTCAGTCGTGCACCGTCAGCTCCATCTCAGCGCGCGCAGCACTGGCGGCCTGAGGGTCCGCCTCCACCGGCACGCGCTCGACGTCCAAGTCGCCCAGCACCTGCTGTTGTTTAGTAACGTGTTCAATTTGCTTCTCCATCTGCTGCTGGGTTCTGAGGAGCTCGGATAACATTATCAATGTCAACTGGCTGTCGATCTTCTGAGAATCTCGCTCCTCGCGAAGTTTCGCGAGAAGACCTTCCGCGGGCGCCATGGCCTGCGCTGCCAGGGCCTGCTCGGCACCTTCTGCATTCGACTCCAGACGCGTCAGGAGGCCCAAGGAGCGCTGCAACTTCTGGATGGGCGGCCGCGCCTTTTTCTCACCCCTCGGCACAGCGATCCAGTCCTTCGCGCCCGACGAATCCGAGGGCGCGCCAGGTTGTCGCGAGGGCCCCACCCGGTGCTGTCCGCACTGGCGGCACATATGATGATGTAAAATGACACTGGCCGCGCAATTCCAACAGGTCCATGCGGGCGCCCGCGCAGGCGCTGGCCCTGGCGTCGATGCCCCCCCTTCGCCCGAGACCCCCTTCTTCCCAACAAAAAGCTTACGCCGCCTCGGGCCCTGCCTTCGCCCCCGCCCCCCCACCGAACCTGGAGCGGAAATGCGGCCGCGCCCCCTGCGGCCGCGCGAGGCCGCGAAGAAAGTGGGCAGGGAGAAACCCGGCGCTGCGCCGCCCTCGGGCCCTCGCCCCCATGGGTGTAACCGCTTGGAAAATGGCCTTGCGCCAGGCTGCGGAGGCCCCCGCCGCCGCCTCCCCCGCCCCCTCCCGCCTCTCCCCTGCCCCCCCCATTCCCCCCGCCCCCCCGCCTCTCCCATGCCCCCCCCCCCGCCCCCCCAGCCTGTTCCCCCCGCCGCCTCCCCGCCGCCGCCGCCGCCGCTGCCGTCGCCGTCGTCGTCGTCTGCCTCGTCGTCGTCGTCGTCGTTCCCCTTCCGGGTCGGCCGCGCTGGCCGCAAGGCCTTCCCCTCGCATGCGCGCGCGCCGCCCAACGAACGTTGCGCGCGCCGTCAAGGGGGGGTGGCGGCGCGTGAAGTCGTCGTCTTGCAATGCTGCTTTGCGCGCCGCCACCCTCCCCTGAGGCCCGAGAACACTCCGCCGGAAAGTGCCCGCGCGTCTCCCCCGGCGGAGCCGGGTGAAATTCCGCGCCCGCCAGCGTGACTGACTGACTGACTGACTGACTGACTGACTGACGGACTGAACGTCAGGGGAGCACTTCTGACAACGCATTTCAAACGCCGCCCGCGCGACCGCAACCGAAACCGGGCGACGCATGTCAAACCGCCCGCGCGCGCAACCGCAACCGAGACCGGGCGGCGCATTTCAACCCGCCCGCGCGCGCAGGCGCGACCGCAACCGGGCGACGCATGTCAACGCGCCCGCGCGCGCAACCGCAACCGCAACCAGGCGACACATCTTAACCCGCCCGCGCAGACGCAAGAACAACCGCAACCGGGCGACACATGTTAACCCGACCGCGCAACCGCAAACGCAACCGCAACCAGGCGACACATCTCAACCCGCCCGCGCAACCGCAACCGCAACCGCACCTGGGCGACGCATTTCAATCCGCCCGCGCGCGCAACCGCAACCGCAACCAAGCGGCACAACTCAATCCGCCCGCGCAACCGCGACCGCAACTGCAACCAGGCGACACATTTCAACCCGCCCGCGCGCGCAACCGCAACCGCATCTGGGGGGCAAAATGCATTTCAATCCGCCCACGCAACCGCAACCGCAATCGCAATTGGGCGACACATGACAAACCGCCCGCGTAAACGCAACCACAACCGCAATTGGGCCACACGTTTCAAACCACCCGCGCGCGCAACCGCAACCGCAACCGGGCGACGCATTTCAACCCGTCCGCGCAACCGCAACCGCAACTGGGCGACACATTTCAACCCGCCCACGTAACCGTAACCGCAACCGCAACCGCAACTGGGCGACACATGTCAGACCGCCCACGCAAACGCAACCAAAACCGCAATTGGGCCACACGTTTCAAACCGCCGGCGCGCGCAACCGCAACCGCAACAAAGCAACACATTTCAACCCGCCCGCGCGGGCAACCTCAACCGCAACCGCAACTGGGAGACACATTTCAAACCGCCCGCGCACGCAACCGCAACTGCAACCGGGCGACACATTTCAACCCGCCCGCGCAACCGCAACCGCAACCGCAACCAAGCGACACATTTCAACCCGCCCGCGTTCGCAACCGCAACCGCAACCAGGCGACACATCTCAACGCGCCCGCGCGCGCACCCGCAACTGCAACCAGGCGACACATTTCAACCCATCCGCGCAACCGCAACCGCAACCAAACGGCATAATTCCAACAGTCCTTGCACCGCAACCGCAACCGCAACCGCAACCGCAACCGCAACCGCAACCGCAACCAGGCGACGCATTTGCAACCCGCCCGCGCAACCGCAACCGCAACCAAACGACACAATTCAACCCGCCCGCGCAACCGCAACCGCAACCGCAACAACAACAACAACACAACAACAACAACAACAACAACAACAACAACAACAACAATAATTACTAGCACGTGGGGACACTCCGTTCTCACCAGTGCCAGGGTTTTCATAGGAGGCGGGCAATACCCCCACTTTGTGGGGGGGCCGGTTCAAGCTCTACCAAATTTCCAAACGACTCTTCGCCACCACCCACACCCAGCTTCCCGCCCTATGACGTTCGGACACTTCACTTCGTGGCATGCGGACGACCGTGGCTACTATTCAGGGCCCCGCGGCCGACGACGACGGCGTGCGCGCGCGAAGAAAAAACGAATGTGTCCCGCATGGTATTATTTGACAGGGATGATGGCCCTGGCAGGTGCGCAACCGTTGTTGCAGAAGTTCGAAAAAGTTGCTCGCAAAAGCCCGTTTGACAGAAATGTTTAAAAAGTGTTGGGTTTCCTACGAATCCGCAAGAGCGCGCGGGATGAAATTTTGACATTTTTTTTTGAAAAACCATTGGTTTTTTGATGTTTTTATGTTAAAATCGCTACGAACACTAAGGTTTTGGAAGGATTTCGTCTTGCGCGCGCGAATGTCCACTTTACCTTATTTTTTGCAAGGGATTCTTGAAGTTTGGTTATGTTAGAACAAGAAATGTCCACTTTAGCTTATTTTTTGCAAGGGAAAACGGGGGACAACAAAACAACCGGATCCGGACACCCACGTTTTGCCTGAGACTTCCTCACGAAAATGATGAAAATGTGGCTGCGGCCTAGGCGCGGCGAGGGGGCCGCGCACCAGGGGCCCCAACAATAATTATTCTTTAGAATACATAATGTTCAACAACAACAACAACAACAACAACAACAACAACAACAACAACAACAACAACAACAACAACTGGGCGACACATTTTAACCCGCCCGCGCGCGCAACCGTAACCACAACCAGGCGACACATTTCCCCTCGGGTACACACACATCATCATCATCATCATGGGTCACCTTGCCCTCGTGTGCACTCGTGTGCACATTCTTTTTTCGATGTCCTCTCACCTGCGGTCCTCACGCAGAGGATCTGAGGAGGAAGGAGGGTAGGATGGAGGAGGGAGGGAGGGGGGAGGAGGGAGGGAGAAGGGAGGGAGGGAGGGGGGGGGAGCAGGAAGGGGAGGAGGGAGGGAGGAGGTAGTGAGGAGGCAGGGAGGGGAGGAGCGAGGAAGGAGGGAGGGAGGGGGGATCACGAGGACGAGGATGAGGAGGAGAAGGGGGGGGAGGAGGAGGGAGAGGAAGAGGAGGACGAGAGAGGGCGGGAAGAGGAGGATGGGCAGGATGGCCAGGAGGATGAGGAGGAGGAGGACGAGGACGACGACGACGATGAGGAGGGAGGGGGATGCGGCGGTTGTCGTGTTCTAGGGGATTGTAGGAGCAGGCGCCGATGAAGGAGGGGACCCGACGGCTCGATAGGAATATGGAGGGCCAGGAGATTGCGAAGGAGGAGGGGGAGGCCGATGAGGATGACGAGGGGGGGAGGAGGAGGAGGAGGAGGAGGAGGAGGAGGAGGAGGAGGAGGAGGAGGAGGAGGAGGAGGAGGAGGAGAAGAGGAGGAGGAGGAGGAAAAGGAAAAGGAGGAGGAGGAGGAGGAGGGCAAGGAGGAGGAAGACGAGTCGTCCGAACCGAGCATCTAGCACACACATATTGTAGCGTGTCGTTTTCCCAAGCGTTATATGGCCAGGAAACGCCCGCCGCGGAGCTGGTATAGTAAAGAATTGCTCGGCGCGCGCGTTGCGCCTCTTTTGGGGGGGGATGGAGGCAACGCGCACTTAAGATAAGTACACGTCGTTCATTTTTAATCGCGCTCATTTCTAATTGTGCTCGTTTCTAAGTGTTCCTGGCCCCCTAGTGGCCAGGAAGAGGCCCAGGATAGAACAATTGGAAATGAAAAGATCTTGGCCCCCAAAAAAATCAGAGACCTTTCGAAGGCTTAAAAATGAACGCTGTGTATGCTTGGTTGATGCCAGTCCTCTGCTGGAGCCGCCTCGGGGCCCAGCTCCAGGGCGCTCCCGGAGAACCGCATCAAGGCTCGCCTGCCCAAATCTCCGAAAAAAGGATTTTGCTTCACTCCCGGCGTTTTTCCTCGGTTTCGGCCTCCGGGCCCGCCATCGGGCAAGAAACAGTGTCCCCTCTGGGGCCGCGGATTGAAAACAACATGCTCGGAGCTCGCGCGGTGAAAAAATCACGGCGGGCCTCTTGTGCCATGTTCGGCCCCTATAGGGGCCCTCGCCGGGCCCTGGCACCCTCAACGAAACGACTCGGGATGGACAACCAGGTCAGAAAAGCCAGTTCCGGTTCCAGGGCCCCGCTGTGGAAAAATCCAGACGTCGGGGGTCTATGATGATGGGGGGGTCGTCGGCATGGATGATGAGGAGGAGGGGTGGGAGGAGGAGGAGGAGGAGGAGGAGGAGGAGGAGGAGGAGGAGGGAAACGCATCGATCTGGAATCGCCGATACTTCGCCGCTTGATCGGCGATAGGCCTCCGAGTGCGAATCCGCAGGGCCTTGCGCAGGGTGGGCTATAGGCGATGAGTGAGCGATTGGGGGTCGAGTCGTCCCTGCCTGAGTCTATCCCCCCTTCCCGCTGCCCCTGGCCTGGAGCTCCTGCACGGATACACGCCCACCTTGTCGTGCGCCAGCGAGAACAGGAATGAGTCCGAGGAGGCCTGCCTAAAAAGAAAACGAGCAACAACTGCACCAACATACACTTTCGGAACTCCGCGCGGATGTCCTGGATCGGTGGTGGAGCCCCCTTTCAGATAAGCATACGTGGCGATGATGTGCACGATGAACTCGGCGATGTTTTTTTTATGGTTTTTCTTTAGACCGTGTACCGATGTCTCTGACCCATACATGCTTGCAAGCTCTGTGCTTCAATACTCCTTGATCTCTGCCGTTCTTGCTTCCCCTACTTCAGAAAGGCTGATGTTTCTTGAAACGGGTATATAGGAATAACTGCTTTTCCTCAAGGCCAATCTTCCATAACCGCTGCTTTCCTTGAAGCCAACACTTCGAGACCACGATTGTTTTTCGAATGGGAACATGTCATCGATCGTGTCGGATTGGAGCTGGCTGGAGCCTTTGAGCGCCAGACAAAACCAACGACAGCTTGAGCCCCCTTCCGTGGCGCGCGGAGCGCGGCAGGGCATCGACGGAGTCGCCGCGACGGGGCCCCAGCGCCGATCCAAGAAATTCCGCGCGGACCTCCGACAGTTCACACCGGGAAACTGTTGCTTAGCGTGTCGCCGCGGCGGCCCTGGCGACACGCTATACCCTTCAAGCGGGTAGCGTGTCGCTCCGCTTCGCGGGGTGGGAGGCTGGGAAATGCTTGAAACTTCGACGCGTGGGGACTGGGACGCGAATCGCGTGTCGCGCCGAAACGCGGCTTGCCAGAACCAGCGACGCGACACGGCAAGCCAAAGTTCCCGACTTTATGCTGATGGATGATTTTTCTTTTCCGGGCGCCCGAAACTCGTGGTACTCGCCCGCGACCGCCACGGGAAGTCGGTAAAGGCGCCGACCACACCCTCAGATGTGCGCACGGCGAGCAGCCCGAAGCAGCCGCGGTCGGAGGGGCAGAAGAATTGCGACTCCTTGATGGGCGACGACGGGGGGGGACGCCCACGGGATGCGAAGATGCGACTTCAAATGCGTGCGATGGCTAATGTCCGCTAGCAGCCTGAAGTTCAAAGAGCCCTGATCCACAATGTTACATACAGATGCAGCGAACAGAAACAAATGAAAAACGCATGCGTGCGAAAGGATCATTGTCACACTCGTTCTAAAACCATGCTGCCTCGAGGCGGTAACAAGGCTCGCAACACACGCGTGGCAAGTCAAGCGTGCTACATATGAAATGAGGGTTGCAAGCTGGCAGACCCCATTTCGGAACAGATAGGCTATCGTGAACAATGCAACAGAAACAAAGCTGGTGTACGTAAACTTTACCGGGTGTAAACGTGCGTGCGCATACATTCACGCGAGACTTGTAACATACAGAAATGGCGGGCAAGTTAAAAACATAGCAGTCTGGATCCTCGCAATCACTCGTTACCACACCCATTGTTCCCATGTCGTTGCCCATGAGGTGAATGACGTGCTGTCGCCACCATCCTTAACTGACGGCGTGTCCTGGTGAAACGAGGATGACCCAATGCATCGTTGAACGTATCTGCGATCCGTCCATGCGCTTCGTCTGAGCGTCGGCCAGCATATACTTGGCTGGGCACCAGGACAGGGGCAACTTGGATTTAGTAGCAGCACCCACTTATTCGCACAGCCCGTCTTCAAACAGCCCCCTCAGCCCGATCATATCCGAAACCATATGTTTTCTGATGGTACAATCAAAGACCCTAATAAACACGCGCGGTAAGGACGCAAAACCCTTGGAAGCCGAAGTTGGGACTTTTGGGGCGGCGGACGACGAAAACCCCAAGGACGCAAGAGCAAGGAAGAGCAAGGACGCAAGGGCACCCTGAGCAAAGTCGTGCGTCCTTATCAGGGTTTTTGACTGTAATTTGACAGTTCCTTGCCGATGAACGGTGCCGTACAATGATGCCCAGTCTGTCACGCAATGGATCGGGCACAGGCTCGGATCGATGTTGTTCAACGTCATGTTAGGGCACATGATATTTAAAACCGACGCCCGCATCACAATGGCGGCTCCAATGGCGCCCACCGCACTCATAGTCTCCGCAGCAAACGCACTGCGGCAAACTCTCCGTGTCGTAGTGGATCTCCAATCCACCAAGGCTACCTTGCGCTCTCCATCCTTTAGGGTCCTCCTCTCGGCCGCGTAGATGAGGGGTCCTGATTGACTGCGTGCCTCAAGAAACTTAGGGCGCCCCTGAGGCAACGGCTGTACGGCATCCCTGGGTGCGCCACCATGCAAATTCCGAGACGTCGTCGTCGGGCTCCATGGGAAGGCCCGGACGGCACCGTGGAATGCGAGGATGCGCAAGTCGCCCTCCATTTTGGGCATGGTCACTCTGGCTTCCTTGAAGCGAACTGCCTCGGACGCGATGCGATGCGTCTGTATCAAGTCGGGAAACCGCCTGGGCGTTCTAAGCTCTTCGCGGCGTCGAAACTCCTGCCGATCGATTCGGCCGCGTCCGAGTACCAAGCCAATCTAGGCATCTCACCAAGCTTCGATTCTACGATCTCCAATTCAGTGTGTGGACATCCCAAGTCCATATTGCGCTCCCTCGCCAGGGTAAGGTTTGTTTCTAGCTTGTCGGCAAATGCCGACTGGCGCAGGTGCATGGACCCGTTGGCCCTGGCGGTCGAGTCCTCAGCGCAGAAAGCGAATGGTGGTGCGAATGCGGTAAAATACTCAGAATGGCTTGATAGCTAATCTCCACGCCGTCGGCGGTGAGCAGGTCGCCGACGCGCGCGCACGATCGCCTGTGGAGCTCCATCTGATCCATGACCGACGAACAAGGCTGGGCCCACGAGGCGTTGGATAAAATTGGAAGTGCTTCCGCCGATCTCGTGCAGCTTGACCTGCAGTAGCGATGTCTTCAAGGTCGCCCACCGCTACCCCCGGCGCGGTAGCTAGCCCGAAAACTCCCCCCACCAGTCGCAGTGCTAGTCCAGGCGCAAGTCCTGGCAATCCTTGAGCTGGTTGCTCCATGAACAGCTCCTTCTCGCGCAGCTGCCCCTCTCCCTGCGCGAGGGCGAAGCGGATCGCATCCATGCCGAGCGGAGCGAACTCGTTCGGGCGACTGGGGGCGAGTCTGTCCATGGCACTCCAGTCTGAAGATCTAGGCCCCGGCGACCTCCAGCACGCAGGCGAGCTTCCACGTTCGCGGGCACCGGGTGCGTCTCCGTTCGAATAGTAACGATGTTGCCGCGAAGCGCAAATCTCGACGGCAGAAACCTGCCAGCGTCGCGGCGTTCTCTGGCCTTGTCGAAATCCTTAAAGCGACAGCGCCTCCACGGAGCAGCGCTTCCTTGCTGGCTTATGGTTACCGCGCTGCTGGCTGCGATGAGCATCGCGGCCGCCGTGGCGGCGGCGGGGGCGTTGCGAGGAAAAGCTACGGCCCCCTTGCAAAGCCTCGGCCCTACCAACATTTACCCCAGCTGCCCGTCTTGGCGACTGGTAAGGTGATGAATGGAGAGTAGATGCCTCTATCATTTTTTGTTGTGGGAAAGAACTCATTGGTTGTGGGTATTACTGTATATGCTGACCCAATGTGGTTGGGAGGACAGTATCTTACCCTGAAGTCGGGTGGCGACGTCTACCTATGAATGGAAGAATTTGTTTTGGGCATCGCTGTATCTACCGACCAAATGTGGTTGGAATGACTGTAGTGTACCTCGTATTGAGCGCATCACTGCGGACGTGTCCAAGGTGAAGTGTCCCAGCCTGTGTGTGGGAGCAGCGTTTTTTCCACTCTCCCCAATGCTATGCACTGGCGTTCTGGTGGAGGAGCTCCTTCTCCTCGGGAATGTCCATCCAGGCGATCTCCTTGTCTGGCAGCTTCTTTCGAATCGATCGCTCTGGGCACGGTCTCCTCTCATCATGGTCGCGAAAACATTGCGGTGCGTCGTCGCGGGGACTGTAGACCGTTCGGCGTCGTCGAGACTTCTCACGGGCAGAGGGTCCGGCGTCTCGCCCTGCTGATGGCGGGGCTGCGTCTGGTGTTGCCGAAGATGAGGATGGCGGCGCCGGCCGCGCGGCTGGGAACTCAACTTCGGCGGAGGGCAACTTAACGTCGGGGTCGTTAGTCAAAGGCATTATCGAAGGTCTTCCGGCCCACAAGCGGCCCCGCATGTATCTCCTCAGCTTTATCCCGTGGCGGTGGTGGCCCCGCTCGGAGGTCCCCGTAGCCCACCCCCGCCCTGATGTTGACGTCTCGGTGAAGTCGCCGCAGCTGGTTGAGGGCTGCTCCACGTTGGTCGTCGATACCTGGCCATCAAGCCTCTTCGTTGGAAACTGGACGCATGTGTTGAGGATTTACGTACTTCGTGGAACTACCATGTGATATCCATTATGTCTGACCTGGCTTGCCTACTACAAATCCTGGACCCAGCCACGTACCTCTCTTGATGGAGCCTTTCTTGCGCTGCCGGAAATACAGGCGCAGGTGCCCCTGCTCGAGTGGACGCGGTGCTACTCGAGCTGGCCAGAGAAGTGCTTTCCGCGAAGTGCTGTCGTTCTGCATATCCATGAAGGCCTTGCGAGCTGCCGTCCTCGTTTTGAACTGCCCCTCCATCGGCTGCAACTCGGCTCCTTCATGCGCCGCGTCGCGATGAGCTCCGTCCTCTAGATCGGCAGGTAGGAGGGCACTCTGGCCGAAAACCCATTGCCGACGCAACGCGTTCATGGTTCTGGTGGCGACAGAGCCAAACTACGAAGCTCACGTCGGCCTCTCCCAACGCAGCGGTGTGAGCTATGGTCCTATCGGCTAACTTCTTCCACCATCTCCTCATCGTTCCGTCTGGCCGTGCGGCCTGGAAGTCTGCCCTGCCCTGTACCTTTCGCGACGGCGCAGTGGAACCTGTCGAGCATGAATTGACATGCCAGCCCCGCGCCTGTCTCCATGTCCACTGCCACATGTGAGGGGGGGGGGGCCTGCCCAGCTCGCCCAAATTTGGGTAAACATCAGGACTGGCCTCTCGTCTGGCCACGCGAAAATCCAGTTTCCAATCACCCCGCTTACAGAAAGTCCCACGCGCCGCCATCGATGTCCTTGCTGGTGGCACAATCTGATCATACAAATCATCTTTAGACGTCGTGCTGGTCGGGCTATATCATATCGGGCCTTCTTCAAACATGAAGCGCAGCGCGCAGATTTCGCCGCCTTGGCGACTTCGGCTCTAGCTCCGGAGATTCGCGAGGATCTGACCGAGTCCTCGTAACTAAGATGTCCCAAGTTACGATGAAGACGTCGTGGGCCCGCCATGTTTGTGTTCGGGCGCCCCGGACTGCCAGGGCCGAACTGCATGGCCTTGGCGCTGGTGTCCTTGGGAAACGGCACAGGCTTGAACCGCGCCCGGGCCTTGAGCTTTGCTGCGCGATCGAGCTAGGCCCGCAGGGATATCGGCATTCTTAAAGTCCTGGATGACCTCGTCGGTGCCCAGTTCGGCGACGCGACGCCGGCCGACTCTAATCCAATCAGGCCTATCCGGCACCTCGGTCGGGAACTCGGCGCACGCCCCGACGGTCTCGCAGTGGAACCACTCGTCCGAGTCTCTACCCGCGAAATCTATCAAGTCTCCTGCGGCGACAACTCCGTTCCCCATCATCTAGGGCACGTTGTTCTTGCTCTGCTGCCGCGCATGGAGCACTGCCCGAGCGAACTCCGGCGGCGTGCCTGCCCGATCGTCGGGTGTAGCGAGATCCTTCCAGATGGTCGCACAGGCGCCTCCACTCTCATACCTTGCTCAGCTTCCTGCCGCGCGACTCGTTCGAGACCAGGGTGGTAGTAGTCTTTCGACGCAGCTCTGCACTTCTCGGTTTACGTAGGTTGCGCTGGCACGTGTCAACTCGCACTACCTTCACCGCCAGATGAGTCATCACTCTCCTCGACTGCGGCTGCGCACAGACTTCGGAGTCGCCGGGGTTCTGCGCGAAGATGTCGCCCGTGGCGGCCAGCGAAGTCGAATAAGGGCATGACTTTCAATCTTTTCCTTCGCAGCTCTCATTGCTGAAGTTCCCCCCTGCGGTGCTGCGGCGCCACCTGTGCCCGGGGCGCGCCGGGGTGCTCCAACGTCGCAGCCCTCGGTCTGCATGCCTAGTAAGTGCGTTGAACTTCGCGTCGTCCTCGAGCTGGGCGCGGGTCGTTGTTGCGGCGTTGGTACATGGGCTCGCGCGCGCTGGGTCGGCTCTGCTGACCTCCTCAGATACCGCGGCTTCCCCAGCGAAGATCTGCATCAAATCGTGCCGCGATTCCAAACGCGTCGCGCATGTCCTGCACGCCATCCTTGCCCTCGTGGAGCAGCGGCTTGACCCGGGAAGCCGATCAGGAGAACCATCAGAGCCTCGCCGACCATGTCCTTGCACTACTTGACTTCGCCTGGCTTCGCATCCCCCTCGCTCTTTAGCACGGCGGCGACTCCTCTCGCTCGGAGCGAGCATCCACATGCGGTCGGCCCCCCTCCACTCTGAGATCTTCGGCCGCGTGCCCCTGTTGCTGATCGTCGCTGGCTCCTGCTCTGCCTCGCTCGAGGAGTCGTCCGAGGTCTGCGACGCCATTGGTTTTGCGAGATGGCCCGCCGCGAAGGTCCGCGCTGGAATGGAGGCGCTCTTCATTCTCAAAGCTCCCCTTGAGGTCAGAAGCTGCCGCGGCGCCTCTCGCTCCACGCTCTCCTCCTTCTCGGTGGCTGTCGGAGCTGATCCCTGAGGCAAGCAGGTGATCCTGTCCCTGGGCATGTCGTCGGCGGCCTTGACGCCCCACCTGGGCGCCAGCTTCATGCGCTCCGCCCTCTCCAGCTTCGCGACGCCTCGGAGCTCCGGACCGACGGCCTCGCAGTTGCTGCGGCGCTGGCTATTCTTGATCCGCCGATCGCTCAGGTACGCGCGCATTTCGCAGCATCCCAAGCCCTGGTGCCCCAGGCTGTCGTAGGCCATCTCGTCCTGGAGCTCCACCTTGACCATGTTGCCCAGCGGCAACAGACGGCGAGGTGCCCGAGGCACTCGCGCGGCAGGCCCCCTCGCGACGCCCCCCCCCCCCCCCCCAGGCGGCGACCGCCGCGGGGGAGCAGCGCCGCCGACGGGTCCAGGGCCATCACTGCCGCTGCGCGGAGAAATCTGAATAGCCTACTCCATCGTGCCAGCGCCACCGCGCCGCGCCCGCGCGCGGCGCTCGCATCGCGGACGTCGCCGCTACGAGCCCATGCGGGCGCAGATGCCAGGGCGCCCCTGGTCGCGACAGCTCTGGGACATGCTGGGGCCGTAGATTGCTGCCCAGGTGGTTCGTTGTCCTGCTCGCTGCTTTGGAAGCAGACTTCTCTACCAGATATCTGCCCCGCTTGCAGTTTCTTCTTCTGATTCTTCGTGGTGCTGGCGGGCGGTTTTTCTTTGTCCTGGCTGTCCGCCCTGCTCTTGTTCTTCCTGGCTATATGGATGTCTCGGCTTCGGCTGATGTTCGGATCGCTCTCTGCGCGATCGCCGCAGCTCTCGCGCTTGTTCGGGTCGCTCTTCGGCCATGCTGCTCGGGGAGATGAAGAACTTGATTTGCCGCGACCTTCCACGGGCGCTCTGATGACGCAGGCAGCCGGGTGTCCGTCTGGCGGGGGCTCGAGTCTGGAGCCACCGAGAAAAATCTGCCGAACTGCAGAATATCAAAGCCGCGCGCCAGCTGCGCCCTTGGCCCAGCTCGAGGCCCCCGACGCCGAGCTCTACGAAGTTCATGGGGCTCACTCCGTCACCATTTCCTCGGCGGCGCACTGCGCGGCCTCGCTGCGACAACGAGCCGGGGACCAGGCAGGGCGCGATGGATATCCGCAACGCAAGCGGTCGTCCTCAAATGGCCAGCAGCACAGGGGCTGCGCTTGCACTCCACGATCGAAATGCCTCGCGCCCGACGAACTCGATCGGTTGCAAGCCTGTCTTCGCGAGAGGCGCTGGATATCATCGTGCCGCGCATGACCGCCCACTGACTTCGCGCAGCGCGAATCTGGTAATACCTTGCCTCCGCGCTGCTGCGCTAGCTCCTCTCGGGCGGCCGTGATCGCATTCGTGGTCGCGAAACTGCTGTTGGCGCTGTCGTTCTACATGAACTTTGGGCGTTGATGTTTTTTTTTCTGGGTTGGTCGCGCCCGAGATCGTGAAATGTCCCTCGCCTGGCTGATCGGCGTCTTCATCGTGCTGATCATCATGTCCGGTTAGGCGAGCCTTGCCGGGTGGGCCTGGGCATTGCGGCCCCCCTTTCCAGTGTCTAGCCTTCAACTTCTTGATCAAATCCTTTCCCGGCGCTGTGCTGACTGTCCTTGCCCTTGCCGGAACCCCCCTTGCCTCCTGGTAGTCGGCCCCCATCGTCGAAGCCTCGAGCCTGCTTCGCATCCCTCTGCCAATCTTTGGCCCTGGCCAGCATTCTCTCTATCTTGAAAACCTCTGTCTCCGCCTCGACCTCTTCGTCCAGCAACTCCACTGGCAAGTCCTCGACGTCGACTTGGGTCCCCATCGCTTCGAGGATTCCGTCCTCGGCATCCTCAATCTCCGCCACGTGTGTGCCCAATTTCCGTGGATGCGATCCTGCTGGTCTTGAGTGCGGTTTCGGTGTCGGCCTCCGGCGGTCGAAACGATCCAATGCCGTCGCGTCACTGACGCGCAATACCGTCTGCTCCATAAATGTTTCAGCTCGTAGTTGTTCTGGTTCGCCTGGAGCACTCCAGCTTCTCTATCTGGCGGCAGGCCAATCCACCGCATGAGCACCCACGCCGATGCTTGATCTGGGAACTCGATTCTCAGCGCCTTCAGCCTTGCATCTGAAGTGCTGGACATGTTGATGTAGTTCCTCATTTCCTCACCGCTCTGGCGCCTCAAATTTGTAAGATACATGTTTTACTTGGATCCGGGATTCACCGCTGGCTCGTCATCAAACGCTTCGGCGAGCAACTCTTACAATCGCTGAACCCCGTCTTGATACGGAAGAATTGCAGTGTCTAGGTCTTCAGCGTGGACCCAGGCGTCGCCCTTGAGCTCCGCGTGCAGTTCCGCTGCTTGCTTCTCCACAGGCGCTCTGGTACGTATCTTGGACACGGCTGCGTGTCGCCAATATTCCAACATGGTCATCGTCTGCGGGCCAGAACTCTGCACTTTTACTGAATAGTTGTTGCCTGCTGCGGCTCCAGCTTCATCATCTTCTGGCGCCGCCTTGGGCCCAATGGGTGCTGGACGTGCTGTAGATAGCCGGGCGGGTTACTTGCAGTTCGCAATTCACAAAAACGTCGGCGCCCAATTGCTCGAACTCCAGCTCGCCATTGTCGTCGGTGTGGCGGGCTATCCGCCGGTAGCAGGCGATCCGCTGTGCCACTCAATGCCATGAGACTGCAATCGGAGGGTCGAAATGTTCCATTGCCAATGTGAAGATGAAACTTCAGGTGTGTGCCACGGCTACTCTCACCCACCAGCCTGAAGATCAAAACCCCTGGCCCATTATGTCATACACGGATGCAACACGTAGATGTGAGGGGCACATGCATGCATGCGGACATCTCATGTTCACAAGGGGAAACACGTCGACCCGGAATCGGCACATAGCGGACCCAGACGTTTCTGGGCGGGCTGGGCTACCAGGCCCCATCGTCGAGGAATTGGCGAATGGGGGTCGGTATTTTCCTAAGTCGACCTCCCCGAACGTTGCCCGTGCATCCTGGCACGTCTGGCGCATCAGAGCGTCCAGCGAGCGCACGTGCACGTCGCTCATGAACGCGGGCCTCGCCCAGTCAAGCCTGATGGGGAGGGGCACCCATGTCGTGACTCTGCTTCCTCCACGTCCTTCTTGACCTCCTCCTCCTCCTCCTCCTCCTCCTCCTCCTCCTCCTCCTCCTCCTCCTCCATTCCCTTTTTATAAACAGCTCCTCCCTGCCGCGCCCTGAGGCTGGTCGAAAGGGCGGGCTGGGCGTTTGGCCTGAGACCTCCTCACCCTTTTTATGCGAAGCTGAAAAAAAAATGACAACAAGTTCGCAGATGGAGGGCGGGTCGTTTCCAAGAAGTGGCTGTCGCATTCGCGCCGCGTGCATTCTGTCCTGAAGTTTGCAGGGGCTTCACGGACTGACGGCGGGTCGTTTTCAACATTTGGTTCTCGCTTCAGTGCCGCCCACATTCGTCCGGGCAAATTGCAGGCGTTTCGCGGAAGACGGAGCGGGTCGTTTTAATAAATTTGGCTATCGCCTTATCGCCACGCACATTTGGTTTAAACAGTTGCAAAAGCTTCACGGACGGAGGGCGGTTCGTTTTCAACATGTGGCTGTCGCCTTAGCGCCGAGCGCATTCGTATTCGAAAAATGCAAGAGCTTGACGGACGGAGGGCGGCCCGTTTCCAAAATGTGGCTCCCGCCCTAGCGGCGCGCGCATTCGAGTTAACAAATGCAATATCTTCACGGATCGAAGGCGGCCCGTTTACATAATGCGGCTCTCGCCTTAGCGCCGCGCACACTCGTTGTAAACAGTTGTACGAGTCTCACGGATGCCCATGGCTAACGTACCAGAAATTGTGGTCTGGAACGATGCAGGATTGTCAGGGCGCAACAGTTATGTTGATTTGTGGTGTAGAAATCCCAGAAATTGTGATCGTCATTGCGCAACGATCATATTGATTCGTGCTGTTGGAGTCCCGAAAATGGTGTCTTGGCACACTTCAGGGTCTTCAAACGGTTCTCTCTAACTGTGCACTTCCCTCAGCGGAAGTGAATCCTTGTAGGGGCCTATGGAGAGGGGCGCCAAGAGGGAGGCTTTACTCCAATATCGTTGATGGGCCTTGGGTTTACAACGGTCTGCCTCCTCCTCCTGCTCCTCCTCCTCCTCCCTCCTCCCCCTACTCATTCTTGTGCTCCTCGTTCTCCTCCTCCTCTTTCTCCTTCTCGGACCTCTCCCAGGGTGCGTTTTGAAGCCCTGACCCCGGACCTCACGTTTGTTTCACCGCGTCGAGGTCTCGACTTCTTCCCCAGGACCCGCTTTTCATCCTGAATCTTTTGTTGACGGTCCAAGGGCCTGGCGAATGCCACCAGAGGCCAAAAATAGCAAACACTGTCCGTCACTATCTTTTCACGACGCGAGGGGATCTGCGGGTAGTTACTTCTCCTTCCCTGAACCTCAGAAGTCTGGAACGCTTCAAGGCCCAGGCCAATTCTTGATGACCCCAGGCCCGATGACGGACCCCAGAGGCCGCCATCGAGGAGAGAACCGCCCAGACTGCATGGAGAAAATCATTCTCGCCAGAGGTTTGGGGCCAGACATCCGGCGCTCCAGGTGTTGTTTTTTGGGATGCGTGAGCCCCCGGAGGTCTGGAAACCTTCCCAATCTATGGGGCCCTGCTTCCGTTTGAGCAGTGACCGACCGTCCCGGCATATCTATAGGCCTACCACAAAATGTTCTCAGAACCCAAACGTGTTCAAATAAAAGACAGTGTTCTTAGAACATACACCCGAGGCGCTAAAACAAGACAGCCCCGGTCAGAGATGTTCTAAGAACCCTTCGTGCAGACCACAAAAGGCTCTTGGAGCAGACGCTTCGCCACTGCTCGACTCGTCCTGCATCGCTCTTCGACGGCCCCGGGGGCCCTTTGAGGCCGCCCGGCGTCCGGCACCGGCCCCACAGACCGGCCCCTCCACGTGGTTCGGAGTCCCGCCCAGCCGTCCCGCATCTCGCTGCTCTTGCGACGCGGGCGCCCGACCTCTCGGCCGCCTCCCCGAGGGCCCGCTTTTTTCACCCCGAGTCGTTTTGTTGACGCCCCCCGAGGCCGAGCAGGAGCCACCGGGGGCCGAAAGCCGTGGAAAAAAAGGCCCTCCGCCCCGATTCTTGCTCGAGGCGCCATGTGTCTGGGAGCATCGGTGCCCTTACCTCCCCGAGGCCGTTGTTCTTCAGGCTCTGGCGCGTTCCCTTGCACGCAGGAAGGGCTGTGGGGGGCGCGGCGAGGCCCGAACAGACCCCTGCACTCCACGCATGTCGGGACTCACTCACGCGCCTTCTCGGCCAGGCGCTGGACAGGCGGCGGGAGGGGGGGGGGGGTCCCCGTGAAGTCGCCGCGTAAGAACTCCTGCAAGTCGACCAACTGCAGGAGGTCTGCATCCGAAGGGGGGGGGGCCCTGTGAAATCGCCGTGTGAGGCCTCCTGCGGATCCACCAACTGAGGGAGGTCCGCATCGGCGGCCCCTCTGGGGCAGTCAGCCACCTCTGCGGACCTCCCGCAAATGGAGATCCATGTGCGGGAAGTCCGCAGGAGCCGCCAGGAAGGGCTCCCAGGGGGCTGGGGGGGGAATGCCATGCAAGGAATACGGGGGATGTCTTGCGCATGCCAAAATTGCTGGAACACCGAAACCAGCTTCGTACCGGTTGTGGTCGATGTGGCGTCCCAAGTCTTCCAAATCGACCACAACCACAACACCTGATTGCTCATGCCGAGGGCGGTGGGTTCTCCCCCGAGGGCCCCCCCCCCGAAAAGTCCACTTGCTTGTGGTTTGTGGTCCTTTGTGGTGCCCGGATAAAAAACTGCCGGAATCGGAAGATAAACGCCCTCCTCGGGAAGGAATTAATGGGAGAGCGATGCACGGGGGGGGGTGGAGAAAGGTGCCCCCTTCGGGCCCTGCAGGCCCCCTTTGGGGTCCTACAGGGCCCCTTCAGGGGCCCTGAAAGGCCCCTTTTTGCAGCCCTGGCTGCCCCCAACCTCCCCCCCCCGGACCAACACTGCCGGAGTCGGAAGACAAACGCCGTCCCCTCCCCAGGAGCCTCAGGCCGTCGGGCAGGTGCGCCTCCAGGGGCCCCAGCCACCGCCGCCAGGCCAGCAGCGCGCGCAGCTCTGCAGCGCCCTCCAGGGGCCCAGGGCGCGGCCACCGGCGGCCGCAGTTCGGGGGTTGCTGGGGGCGTCCCCTGGGCCGCGGTGTCCCCAGAGAGATCCGATGCGTCGGAAAAAATGCCCCAGGCCCCATCAGGTCATGAGGGAATCATGGCGGAAGGTTTTTTGTTATTTCCGGCCTCCAGGGGCCCTCAACTGGCCCCGGGACAATCAAAAAACGACCCAGGGAAGTCCAGGTGTCCATGGATCGGAAAAAATTGAGCGCCAACTGTCTGTGTCCCCAGCTTCGGGGCCCCAGAACCGTGTGGTCACGGACCGCGTGGTGACCTCGGAATCTCCAACGACCTCACCGCGTCACCACACGGTTTTGGGACCGGAGGCCCCAATCGTCCGAGACACCCTTGGAGAACGGCCCGAGTCCCAAAACCGCAGTGACCCCAACTGGGGGCTCCCAGCCAACTTCCCGCTCCATTTTGGAGCCCCCTGGGCCCTTTGGGCCTTGTCAGAGTGTACACTGGAGGCTGTTGGAGCTGCTTCGAAATCATGGGTACACCTTCCCAAACATGCGCGGCTCTAATTTTTCCATACGGGGTCCCCACAAGTCTCGACCCGTTGCCCATGCATTTTTTTCATCGCGAGACGTTTTTCGACGGTCCCAGGGCCAGGCGAGAACCTTCGGAAACCGACAAGGGCCAAAACCTTGCGTCGAGACATTTTCCCGACGCTGGGGACTAGGACGGGGGTGACGTCATGCGATCATCGGAGAGATTCTGGAATGCCTAGCGGTTCCCGCTTCTGCAGCCCGTGTGGAACTCTTCGAGAAGTCTGGGACATCTGCAAGATTTGCTCCTCTGAGGGGCACCTTGGGCCTGGGGCACCTCTGGCAACACCCGAGCAGTGGGCGCAACGCTCGGGCGGGTCCTTTGGCGGCGCGCACAACGGGGTAGGGGGAGGGGGGAAGGCTTCTTAGAAGGAGACTGCTTCCTAGAAGGCGCTGGCCTTTCATCTATAGACAATGCCCGCGCCTGCTAAGAAGCAAGGGTGCTTCTAAGAAGCCTTCTTCCCCCCTCCCCCTACCCCCCGCTCTGCGCATGACTGAGTCCTCGTGCAGCCTGCCGCACAGGGCGCACCGCCGCCGGCACAGCTGCAGGGCGCGCAGACGCGGGTCCAGCGGGCCAACGGCCGGCCCGGCAAGCTCCCGCGCTGTCCAGAGGAGGGCCAGTCGAGACAACGGGGGCCCTCCCCCCTGAGATCCGGGCGCTGCATTCTTTCCTGCCAGAAAGATGGGCCCAGAGCTCCTGGTGTGAGCTCGTACTATGTTGCATGTTTCCGATGACGGCGGATCTCCATGGTCGGGGGGGGGGGGGCGGCCGAGACAGCGGCGGCGCTTCTTGGCGTGTTTTTCGCCCTCCCTGGACCTCCTGGAGGCTCCTCGTCTCCACGGCCGGATCCGCCACTCTGGATGCACCGAGGGAGGGGCGTCCAGGCGGCTCTGGGGCGGATCGTGCTAGAAACTCTCGCATCATGAATATGAAGGGGCCCTGGGACACACAAATAAAGAGACACAAAGAACAGGATTCCCCATATTCTCCCAAGTTTTTTATGTTTTTCCCATCTTTTCGAGAGGATCGATGATTATTTGTGTCTGTGTGTTTTTTCCCCTCCTGAGGACAAAGCCACGACGGGCGACGCGGGCATGTTTTCTCGACACAGCCCTCCTCCGCGCTGGGGCGCCCTGGGCGGCTCCGGCACCCCCCGGCAGCAGCCCGCGCCTCAGGCACGCCTCGCCGCCCACGGCCGCCCGTCGTCGACGTCGTCGTCGACGTCGTCGTCGGCGTCGTCGTCGTCGCCGTCGTGGTCGTGGTAGTCGTCGTCGTCGTCAAGGACGTGGTCGTGGTCGTGATCGTCGATGTTGCCGTCGCCGTCGCCGTCGTCGCCGTCGTCGTCGTCGCCGTCGTCGCGGTCGTGATCGTGGTCGTGGTCAAGGTCGTGATCGTCGGCGTCACCGTCGACGACGTGGTCGTGGTCGTGGTCGTGGTCGTGGTCGTGGTCGTGGTCGTGGTCGTAGTCGTCGTCGCGGTCGTCGTCGTCGTCGTCGGCGTCGGCGTCGGCGTCGTCGTCGTCGTCGCCGTCTTGGTCGTGGTCGTGGTCGCGGTCGTGGTCGTCGTCGTCGTCGTCGTCGTCGCCGTCGCCGTCGCCGTCGCCGTCGCCGTCATGGTCGTCGTCGTCGTCGTCATGGTCGTGGTCGCGGTCATGGTCGTGGTCGGCGTGGTCGTCGTCGTCGCCGTCGTCATCGCCGTCGTCGTGGTCGTGGTCGTGGTCGTGGTCGTGGCAGTGGTCGCGGTCGTGGTCGTGGTCGTGGTCGTCGGCGTCGCCGTCGACGACGTGGTCGTGGCCGTGGTTGTGGTCGTCGTCGTCGCCGACGTGGTCGTGGTCGTGGTCGTCGGCGTCGTCGGCGTCACCGTCGACGACGTGGTCGTGGTCGTCCCTGTCCTCGTCGCCGTCATCGTCGCCGTCGTGGTCGTGGTCGTGGTCGTCGCCATCATCGTCGTCGTCGCCGTCGTGGTCGTCATGGTCGCCGTCGCCGTCGTCCTCGTCGTCGTCGTCGCCGTCGTGGTCGTGGTCGTGGTCTCGGTATTGGTCGTGGTCTTGGTCGTGGTCGTGGTCGTCGTCGTTGTCGTCGTCGTCGTCGCCGTCATCGTCGTCGTCGTCGTCGTCGACCACGTCTTCATCGTCGACGTGGTTGTCGTCGTGGTCCTCGTCGTCATCGCAATCGTCATCGCCGTCGTCGTCGTCGGCGTCGGCGTCATCGTTTGCGTCGGCATCGGCGTCGTCGTGGTCGTGGTCGTGGTCATCGGCTTTGACGTCGTGGGCATCGTCGTCGTCGTCGTCGTCGTTGTCGCCGTCGCGCCGTCGAAGTCATCGTCGTGGTCGTGGTCGGCGTCGTAGGCGTCGTCGTCGTCGCCCTCGTCGTCGTCGCCGTCGAGGTCGTCGTCGTCGTCGCTGTCGTGGTCGTGTTCGTTGTCGTGTTCGTCGTCGTCGTCGTCGTTGTCGTGGCTGTCGTCGTCGTCGTCGCCGTCGTCATCGTGGCCGTCGTCGTCTTAGGCGCCGGCGTCATCGTCGGCGTGGGAGTCGGCGTCGGCGTCGTGGTCGTCGTCGTGGTCGTCGTCGTGGTCGTCAGCGTGGTCGTCGTCGTGGTCGTGGTCGTGGTCGTGCTCGTGCTCGTGGTCGTGGTCGTGGTCGTCGTCGTCGACGTCAACGTCGTCGTCGTCGTCAAAGTCGCCGTCGGCGTCGTGGTCGTGGTCGTGGTCGCGGTCGCGGTCGTGGTCGTGGTCGTGGTCGTGGTCGTGGTCATGGTCGCCGTCGTCGTCATCGTCGTCGTCTTCGTCGTGGTTGTCGTCGCCGCCGTCAACGTCGCCGCGGTCGTCGTCGCCGTCGTCGTCACCGTCGTCGTCGTCGTCGTCGTCGTCGTCGTCGTCGTCGTCGTCTTCGCCGTCGGCTTCATCGTCGGCGTCGGCGTCGGCGTCGGCATCGGCGTCGGCGTCGGCATCGGCGTCGGCGTCGTCGTGGTCGTGGTCGTGGTCGTGGTCGTGATCGTGGTCGTGATCGTGGTTGGCGTCGTCGTCGTCGGCGTCGTCGTCGTGGTAGTCGTCGTGGTCGCCGTCGCCGTGGTCGCGGTCGTCATCGTCGCCGCCGTCGTCAGCGCCGGCGTCCTCGTCGGCGTCGGCGTCGGCGTCGTCGTCGACGGCCTCGCCGCCCGAGGCCGCCCGCCGGGCGCCGCCACGCGCCGAGGGCGGCGCGGCCGCGGCGGCCGCCTCCAGCCGCTCGCACACCGCGGCCCACACGGCCGCCTCGCCTGTTGGCGGCGAGCCCAGGGGGGAGTGCAGAGGGGCCAGGCTTCCCAGTTCCGAGAAGCGTGTGAAGCCTTCTCCGAAGACGCAAACGGCTCCTCAGAGGGCGCGGGGGATTCTGGGAAGCCCCGCCGCCTTCCGAGTGCCCCCTCCAGCTTCCCCCTGGGCGCGCCGCCAGGCCCGAGCATCGCCTGACAGATGCCCGTCCCCCCACTGGCGTGGCCTGAGCTACTCTGGCCGACTTGCCGACCTGGGTGGGGAGCTATGCCTGATACTTCGGGTTTCGCGGGGCCTGTCCCAGGGCCAGTGGGGCTGAAAAACATGGCCCAGGGATGGGGACAAATTCGACGATGCTGATCGCCCGCCGCCGCGCGCCAGGCGCCGCACACGGGCGCGCACGCAAGCAGGCCCCGCACGTCGCCGCAGAGCAGCACCTGGAGCCGGACATGCCGGCGTCGCGAAACGCTCACGACGGACGGTTTTGGGCAACTTTCGGCCCCCGAGGCCCTCGCCGGGCCATGACCGTCGAAGAAGGACTCGAGATGGACGGCCGGTCCTGGGACCTCCTGTGGGGTCGCGATGTCAAGCTTTTCGCGCCGGGCGTTTCCACTTCGGGCCCCTGGACCCTCACAGATCGGTCGGGCTTGAATAGAGGTCAACAAGTCCAGCCCCAAAATCACCACCCCGACACGCGAAATCGTGTAGTACACGCGCCCAAAGAAGGAGTCGGATAGGGCAAGGCTGGTTAGTAAACGCCCAGGGCCGTTCCCAAAAACGCTAATTGTCCTGTCCGGGAGGTTTTTCCTCCCTTGACTGAAGATGAAGAGTGTAACCGAAAGATGGGGTGCCGTGACTTTTCACGGTGTCGCATGTGTTCCGCAGCGCAGCAGCTCAAGGAACCTCCGATGCGAGCTCTCCTGCCCGCGGCCCAGGAGAGGTCCCGGCGCCTGCCCCTGGGCGAGGCCTCTCGTCCCAGATCCGCTCTGGATAGCCCTGGGGCCCGAGAGGGCGGGTCCCAGAGGCCCATATCTAGGGAAACAACGCTCGGCGGCGAGCGAGGGGGGGAAGTGAGAATGGGCGGGCCTTCTCAGAAGGCTCGGAAGTCCCCCGGCCTTCTGAGAAGTTTTCGGGGCCGTCCCCGAAGACCGAACAAAACTTCTCGGAAGGCCGGAGGGCTTCTGAGAAGTTCCGCCGCGAAGGCCTTCTCCTTCTCATTTCCCCCCCTCGCTCGCCGCCGAAACGTCCCTTTTGAGAGCGGACTTAGGCTAGCAGGCCGAAAACATTAGTGATGGGGGGTTCTGCATATGTATGAAACTTAACCGCCCAGATTCATGAACCCTGATGCAGAGACAGGGGCCTAAGTTAGGCTATGGCTCCATTGTGTTATGAACGTTAGGGACTCTTGTATTCTCGATGTTCTGGGTGCTCGGTGTTCTTCAGATTCCGGCACGTCTACTTGCATGGACGGAGGGGAAAGAGGGCGGGCGCGGTGAGGCCCGTGAGGAAATCTGCACTCCACGCAAGCCGGGACTCACTCGCACGCCTTCTCGGCCAAGCGCTGTTCGCAAGAGCGGCGGATGACGAGAGGGAGGATGTCATGCACGTAGCCCTGAGATCCGACGCAGCGAACAAACTGGAACATCGTCAAAAAACACGAGCCTTACGATTAGCAGTAGAAGGACCAATAACCCTTTGGAAGCGGACCTAATTTAGGAGGTCCAGGACATTAGGGATAAAGGGGGCCATTCCTGCAGATGTATCAAACCACCCAGATGTATTATCCCTACTGCAAGCACGGCACCTAAGTTACGTCTTCATCGTATCATGAGTGATGAGGGTTAGGGGTTAGGTATTCCTCGATGTACCCTAGACCCATCTCCATTTCTCCAGCTGCATCGATCGGTGATGGTCCCAGGGACCGCGAAATCGTGCGTAACCGCCCTGCGAGTACAACATGACGACGCGAGGATCTCAGGGAACATTTGCCAGCAGCGTCGAATCGACCCCCATCCCCAGAGGCGTGGCCTGGGCCCCGCTGGTCGAGTTGACCCCCTCGAGAGGGATATGGGCTGCTACTTCTGGGGCTCGATGGTACATCCCCACCCGGGGTGCTGAGATGGTGGGGGTCTGGATGGGGACGGGGATAGGGATGGGACCTCGGCCAGAAAAACCTCCCTCAAGAACGTGAGACCCTCCGTCGGCCAGAACGCGCAGGACAGCCGAGGGCACCCTCCCCAGGACGCACCAGTAACATCCAACAGGCACGGACAGAACATGAGGGCACCCTCCTCGAGCCGACCTCGATCGTATACCTCGGCCCCGCTGTAAAAGGACACTGGGTGGACCTGTTTTCCACCACCGCCATAAGTTGGACGGGGAGGAGGAGGAGGAGGAGGAGGAGGAGGAGGAGGAGGAGGAGGAAGAGGAGGAGGAGGAGGAAGAGGAGGAGGAGGAGGAGGAGGAGAAGGAGGAGGAAGAGGAGGAGGAGGAGGAGGATCAGGAGGAGGAGGAGGAGGAGGAGGAGGAGGAGGAGGAGGAGGCGGACGAGGAGGATGAGGAGGAAAACGAACAGGAAGAGGAGGAGGAGGAGGAGGCGGAGGAGGAGGAGCGAGCGAGCGAGCGGGCGAGCGAGCGAGCGAACGAGCAGAAGCCGAGGGGCAGTCGGAGCGGCCTCGGGCCGAGGAACTCGACGGCTTCTACCCCCCGCTCAGAGCACCGCCCGACGGACACGAAGTCGTCCAAAGGTGGTGCCCCGAGCGAAGGGAATGCAGCCGTCAAGCCCCCAGCGGCAGCGGCACGGCGCCTCGCGGGCGCCAGCGGGAGCACGGGGCCTGCGCCAGGCCCGTGCTCACCTGCTTGGGCCCGAAGGGCAGGGGTCGCAGGGCGCCCAGCGCTCCCAGCGCCAGTGTCACGAAGAACCACCACCGCAGCTCGGAGATGCCAGGGTGGTCCACAAAGACGTCGCTCGAGTTCCGATCCAGTAAAACGAGACAGGCCGCCCAACACGCAGGAAACCAAGGGCCAGCAAGCTGAAATCCCAAGGGCCTAGGAAGGACGGTCCTGACTCGGCGACACGAGCCTGCCCGCGGCAGGATTCAAAAACTGAACAAGTTCGAGAGCGCTCCATCCACCGGGGATCAAACACCACGCATCGCCGACCACCGGAGCGTTCACACCATATCATGATCGGCTTCGTCATCGGAACCTGAATCCCGCGGAGCCCCCAACTCCAAACACTCGGGGTAACTGAGGCCGAGGTCCGCGAGGATGCACGCGGTATCGAGGTATCACTGCGTCTCGGCCCTGATATTCCCTCTTGGACGGCTGACTAATCTGTCCTGGCACAGCGGATCCTGCCAAATTTTGGAACGACACAACGGCCTCCTCACACACTCGGCAGGCCTGCGCGCGTGGAGGAGCGTGAGGCGCTTATGCATACTCTGCGGGTGCCTCAAGTTCTCGAAGTGCCTGGTATTGTCTTGAACTCTGCCGCTGCCTCCGAGCCGCCCACAGCAGCATGGTCAAGCCCTCTGCGGTTGTGGCTGCCCGTGTCGGAGTACTTGCAGCAGCTGGTGCAGAAAGCCAAAGACAGAGCCTGCCCATCCACAGGGCATTCCAGCAACGCATGGCCCTGCACCATGCATGGACAAGGAAGTGTGGCCTCCTTGGCTGTCGTTTCCTGCGCGGGCGTGACGACTGCATCTTGCTTCCTCAGCCTCCGGAAAAAAAGCTAGTCACAAAACTCTTCGTCCTGCTCATAAAACCACACCTCAAACTGCGCGATGTAAGTGAGAAGCAATTTGCGAAATCTACTGGCACCCTTGACGAATCTCTTCTGATTATCCTTGGCCGCGTGGAAGCTAGCTCCAGCTTTGGCAAGGTCGTCGGCCTCCGCGTTGCAACTACGGTCGGAGTCGCTGATGGTGGCTTCTCTAACGTCTGCAATGGAGGTGTGAACCTTCACGTGGCTAAAAATGGCGCGGCAAAAGTCGTCATTCATGACAGCTCGCTTCCACATGTGTAAGGAAGAGGAGGAGGAGGAGGAGGAGGAGGAGGAGGAGGAGGAGGAGGGAGGAGAGGAGGAGGAGGAGGCGGAAGAGGAGAGGAGGAGGAGGAGGAGGAGGAGGAGGAGGAGGAGGAGGAGGAGGAGGCCTGTTTTCCGCCTCCTCCTCCTCCTCCTCCTCCTCCTCCTCCTCCTCCTCTCCTCCGCTGTAAAAGGACACTGGGAATCTGCGTGAGACTGCTCTCTGGGCGCCCGCCGCCAGGGGTCCGGCGGCAGCGGCGGCCACGGCGCAGGCGGCGCCGCCGCGCGCCCCCCGGCGGCGGGCCGCGGCGCGGCGCGCGCTCCTGCCAGGGGGCAGCGTCCTCTCTCCTCCTCCTCTCCTCCTCCCTCCTCTCCTCCTCCTCCTCCTCTTCCTCCCCCCTCCCCCTCCCCCCCCCGCCCCGCCCCCGCCCCCGCCCCCCCCCCCCCTACCCCCGCCCCAGCGCCCGCCCCCGCCCCCGCCCCCTCTCAGAGGCCCAAACGAGCCCCCCCAGAGGGTCTCCAGGAGGCCCCAGAAGGCCACACCCGTTGACGTCATCCCTCTTCGGGGGTCGACAGAATGGCGTAAGCCTCTTGAACAAGGGGGGGAGTTCGAGGCTCGAGGCTGTCGGGCCCTTTCCTCGGCTCCCTGCGGTGTTCCAACCTCGGGGTGCTCTCCAGCGGCTGCGCCTCGCCGAGGGCGCTCCAGGGGTGCCCGGATCGTCCGGAGCGAGCGGCCGCGGAGAGCCGTCTTATGACCCGAGAACCACACGACGAGTATAATTCAGGAGGGATAGTAGGCTCAGGGGGGCGCATCGACCCCCAATCGCCAAATGATGGCCGCCAGGGGCCCAGTAGCCCAACCCGTCTGTGAACGTGCGAATTCGCTATCGAGGGCATATCACCGATCTCTCGTCGACGCATCACCACATCCAGGTCGACCTGTCCTTCCTGCCAGTCCCGCCCTCCCTATGCAGAAACCCCGCTTCATGGCTTTTTCACAACGTCGACCCCCAGAGGTCTCGACCCATTGCCCCAGATCGGGCTCTCATCCCGAGTATCATGATTTGACGGCTCTAGGGCCCAGTGAGGACCCCATGGAAGCCGAAAGTGCGAAACAAACGCCCGCTATTCTTTTCCTACGATGCGAGGGGGTCTTGCCCCTGAGCCTATCTTGAGCAGAAGCCGACCGTCCTCGCATTAATCTAGACCAACGGGCCTAACACGACATGCTCGTAGAACCAAATAATGTTCACAAAACAACAGCACTTCATATTATTGGATCTTGCACCTACGTGTTCAAACAAGACTGCGCCCACCAGAAATGGTTTAAGAACACGTCGTGCAAACCACAGAAGGTTCTCCGATCATTATGTTGTGGGCCAACGGTCGGAAATGTTGGCAGCGCCAGCCTGGGCGACACGCTCTGCCTGACCTGATTGCATGTCGCTCCGCTCCGCGGGGCGGGAGGGTCGGAAAGGCTCGGGACGTTGACGCTTGGGGACTGGGAAATGGCTAGCGTGTCGCGCCGAAGCGTCGTGGGCCAGAGCCGGCGGAGCGACACGCGATCCCAAAGTTCCCGACCGTATAGTCAAGCCACTTGGACCACCCGTCCTGGCATTCCTAGAAGCTAACCGCGACATGTTCTTAAAACACAACAATGTGCCAATAACATAGACAACACCTTTCGACCATCAAGCCGATGTGCTCAAACAGGACAATCGCGGCCACAGCTGCTCCGAGAACCTCTCGCACAAACCACGAAGGCTTTTCGGAACATCCTAGGGTGGGCGCATTGGGCGAGCCAGGGCGCCCTTCACCTGCTGGAAGGACCCCTGCGCCTCGCCACTTCTTGAACCCCACGCTGGCCCCGAGCTCCGCTGCCGCGGCGGGGGCGGCCGGGGCGGCGCCCGCCAGCGAGCCGCCCGCGGGCAGGGCGGCCGCGCACGGGCCGCTGCCGCGGAGGCCCGCGGCGCAGGGGCTGCCGCGCAGGAGGGCGCAGCACTCGCCCATTGTGGCGGGTGCTGCTAGAAGTGGCGACGGCGACGACGCCGACGCCGACGCCGACGCCGACGGCGGCGACGCCGGCGGCGACGCCGACGCCGACGACGACGCCGACGACGGCGGCGACGACGACGACCACCACCACCACCACCACGACGACGCGACGACGACGAGCACCTTGACCAGCACCACTTCTAGCAGCAGTCGCCCTCTGCGGCGGGTGCTGCTAGAACTGGCGCTGGCCCAAGGCCCAAGGTGCCCCCAGGATTTCCAAGGAGGCACCCACAGCCTCCGGAGCATGCCCCATGAGGCTCCATGGTGGAGCGAACAGCTGAGGGCACCTTGGGCCAGGGGCGCCTTTAGCAATCCCCGACTCGTGGGCGCGCTGCGAGAAGTGGCTCTGGCCCAAGGTGCCCGTCGTTGTCGAGTCGTCGTCGTGGTCGTGGCCGTGGCCGTGGCTTTAGTCGTGGTCGTGGTCGTGGGGGTGGTCGTGGTCGTCGTCGCCATTTTGGGAGCCTCGTGGGCCCCCTTGGGCCTCGCGAGTGGCGCTCTGGGAGCCACCGGCGTCTCCCTGGGTAAGCCCAGCCAGGGCGATTCGTCTCGCTTCCGGGCGTTCCGGCCATACTTCGGGCCCCGGGGCGCTCACAGATCGATCCGTCTCGGAGGGTGCCGCAGACATCGGAGATCTACTTGAGCAGGGACCGAACGTCGCGGCATTACTATAGGCCTACCGCGACATGTTGTTTGTTCTTAGAACCCAAACATGTTCTTAGAACAAAAACAACGTTCTTAGAATATGAACCCGATGTGTTAAAACAAAACAATATCGGCCAGAAATGTTCTAGGAACATTTCGTGGAAATCACAAAAGGGTTCTTAGAACAGTGTCTGGTAGGCCTACAAGCGCGCCAGGGCGCTTCGCCACTGCTTGATCTACTGACCCAGGTCAATCCAGACCCGGTCAGTCAGGCCTTGCAGGGTCCTGCGCCCAAGCCCAGTCAACGCAGCCCAGGCGCTGTGGGATCCTGCAAGATCTGGCGCTCTGATTGGCCCCCCTTGACGTTGACCCCCGTCTCGTGAGCCCCGAGGAGAGATGGGGCCCAGGGCTCCGGTCGTGATGTTTCACGCCGCTGCCATCTTTCCGCAACGTCGGATCTCAGGGAGGTGGCCCCAGCTCTGACCAGGAGGGCGCAGGTGGCCTCCAGGGAACCCCTGGCGAGGCCCCAGGGGGGGGGGCCCCAGAGGCCCTCAAAATGGCGACGACGACGACGACCACGACGAGCACCTTGGCCAGGACTACTTCTAGCAGCACTCGCCTATTCTGGCGCGCGCGCGGGGCCTGCGGGGGCGTGCCACACCGAGGTACTAAAGATGAGCGAGGGGGAGCATTGAGCTTTCCAGATCCCCGAAGAGGTTGTCTTTGCAATCCCAGCTTTTCTCTTAGATTTCGGCCTCATGGGGCCCGTGAGTGGGCCCCAGGACGATCCACAATGAACCCAACATGAACAACTACTCCTGGAAAAGCGGTCGGGACTTCAAGGGCCGAAGCAACAAAAATCAGATCGGCGGATGTCAAAGATTGAACTTCAATCGGCGATGCAAAAACCGCGGGCCCGTGCCACCAAGTATTATTTATTTGCGGGGGCGCGTGGGGGAGACCGGCTAAGGGGGGGAAACGCTGACTCTGAAACGGCAATACATCGCCGGCAGATCGGCGATGGGCCCCTGATGGTGAAACCGCAGGGGGCCTCGAGATACACGCGTCGCACCAGGGAGTCTTATAGATTGCCTGAGTTGGCGCAGCGCATTGAGCAGGGACCGAACGTGGCGGCATTACGATAGGCCTACCACGACATGTTCTTAGAACCCAAACATGTTCTAAGAACAAAAACAACGTTCTTAGAACATAAACCCGATGTGTTAAAACAACACAGTATCGGCCAGATATGTTCTAGGAACATTTCGTGGAAACCACAAAAGGGTTCTTAGAACAGTGTCTGGTAGGCCTACAGGCGCGCCAGGGCGCTTCGCCACTGCTTGAGCGCAGCGTTCGCTCATCTGCGTGTCCTCGCGCCCTGGCAGCCGCCCTCTCGGAAAAAGGGCACCCGCTCTAGGCCCCGACCGCGATGCGCGAGGCGCGACCATCTCTACGCCCGCGCGGGTGCCCTGGACGTTCTATTTTGCTCGAGGGGATGGTCCTCGACTCGCGGCTAGGCTGGCACACCTAACATTAGACCGTGCACGTCCCCCTACAGGCGGATTTTGAAGGACAAATGCAAGATACCCCCAACATACCCCAACATGGTCAAAACAAATGTTCAAACAATCGTCCCCATACTATTTCTGGACTATTTTTGAATATCCCCCCTGTAGAGGGACAAGCCCAACTTAAGGCTAGGCTGGCACACCTGAGATTGACCTGCTGGCGCCGGCCGGCAGGACAAATCCCGTCTCCCTGCGGAACCAGGACGGAGCTACTCTAATTTCTAATTTTACGACGGGCGTGCCCCCCTACAGGCTGAGCTTGCACGAAAAATCAAAAATAGTTTAGAACGTGTCCTAACACATTTAAAAGTAGTTAACAGAAAAATTGTCCCCAGAGTATGTTTTACTATTTTTGAAGATTCCCCCTGTAGAGGGACAGGCCCGACTTAAACCTAAAACTGACCTGCTGGCGCCGGCCGGCAGGACAAATCCCGTCTCCCTGTGGAATCAGGACGGGGCTACCCCAATTACGAGAGAACGGCGCCCGTGCACCGTGCCATGGTTTGGCTCCCTTCGGGCCCTGCTGCAACGCAGTCCAGCGCATAGCTTCCAGCTCTGAGGCGCATAGCTTCCAGCTCTGAGGCCCAGAAACCATGCACCGCACTATCTCGCAGCTTAGCATCGGCGACACCGCACGACACGTGAGCGCGGCACGGTGCACACAAGCCTTTCGTGGATACTCGTGACAATTATTGCCGGAGCGAGGGAGCGACAGGTGATCTACAATCAACGCGAATGCCGCAGCGTACCCTTGCGCTGACACAGTGGAGGAGGAGGAGGAGGAGGAGGAGGAGGAGGAGGAGGAGGAGGAGCAGAGGGAGGAGGAGGAGGAGGAGGAGGAGGAGGAGGAGCAGGAGGAGGAGCAGGGGGAGGAGAAGGAGGAGGAGGTTGAGGAGGAACGGGAGAAGGACCGGGTGACCGAGGTGGTCGCGGCTGGCTTCGGGCCCCCGGTGGCCCTCGCAGACCGCTCCGACTCGAGAAGTGCCGCAGCACAGATGGGGCTTTGGGGCATGTGGCCGCGCTTTCTGAGGATGTTGCCCTTCCTCCTCCTCCTCCTCCTCCTCCTCCTCCTCCTCCTCCTCCTCCTCCTCCTCCTCCTCCTCCTCCTCCTCGCGGCGTCGGGTCTCGGGGTGCCCCCAAACCCGAGTTTGGGGCGAGCTCGATGTGGGAGGCAACCGACCTTGCCGACGCTCGCGGGAGCAGCGTCCCCTCCTGTCGTCCCGCCTCGAGGCTTCGAGGCTTCTGGAGGAGAAGGAGAACGACGACGACGAGGAGGATGAGGAGGAACAGGGGGAGGGCCGTAAGATCTGGGCGTCGCCCTGTTTCTGCTCGCGCCTGGTGTTCTTTGCCGCCGGCCTCGCCCCCGGGATCCTCACGGATCGATCGGGCCCGAGGGACTCCTGGGACTCTGCGGTCGTGACTCCCTGCGGACTGGCTCTTTTCTCGCGACGTGCCCGAGCCTGAGGCGGGCCCGGTGTGGGAGGAGAGAGGGGCGGTGACGGCTCGAATGCCGCCCGGCCATGGTTGTGCCGTGGCTTCGGTGGAGGGGCCCAACTGCGTGACGAGAGGGAGGCCCACTCGGGCGCCATCGGGCCGGAGGGGTGAAGAAGGGCGATGGAGACTTAGACCCTTAGCATCTTGAAACATGGAGGTGGAGGGTTCTACAATTTTCAACGCCCGAGGCTGTTTACAGGCCCAATGAGCCGTCACACATCAACTCAAGACGAAAGACCGCGCATGAAACAAAAATAGGCAACAGGAGGGAAGGGAGAAGGGTCGGAGCGGGAAGGGGAGTCGGAGGATAGGAGAGGGAGCCTTCAGGGGATGGGGATGAGAGGTGATGGCGGATGGGCAACGTTTAGCGAGGAAGGAGGGGGATGGCGGGGAGGGAGAGGGGGAGGTGACGCGGAGGCGGAGGAGAAAGAGACGGGCATCGGGAAAAACAACATTGATTTTCTGAATTCTCATGTTTTTCTCCCCCGTGTCCGCCTCCTCCACACATTGCCCTCCCTCTCCTCATCCTCCTCTGCGCTCGTCGGAAGGTCAGGCACGCTGCGCTCTGACTGGGAACTCACCTCCTTCTTCTGCTCCTGCTCCTGCTCCTCGTCCCCCCGCCTCCCCACCCCACCACCTCTCCCTCCCCCATTCGCCCTCCCGCTCGCAGTCTCCGTCGATCCCCCATCGCCTCCCTCTCCCCGATCTACACGCGTCCTGCCCCCCCCCCCGACCTGAGGGGGAACGGTAGGGGGGGGACTGGCTCAAGGGGGGAAGCATCGAGCTGGAATCGATGATGCATCACCGATGGTCGGGCGATAGTCTCTCGAGATGACGAGTCCGCAAGTTCCATCGGGACCCTATCGTGGATCGATTGGCGACGGGCGGTCGATGCGCCCCCCCTGTTCCTGACGGTGGGCCCAGAGAGCCTCGACACCACCTCCACGTTTGCCAGGGCGGACCCCAGATATTGGACGGTGGCAATGGAAGTTTCGCGGAGAACGCTATGTGCTGTCAGCTGTGTGGTACAAGTTATGCCGTGCAAGCTCTGTGGTGCCAGCGAGGTTGCGCAGACTTTGCGGTGTGACTTTTGTGGTGTGAGCTGTGTTGTGCAAGCTGTGCGGTGTGAGCTGCGCTGTGTGAGCTATGCTTTGTGAGCTGTGATGCCCACCCGGGGCACAGGGAGCCCACGAGGCTCCCACGGGCGGGCGCCGGGCGAAATCTCAGCGGACCCATCCAGGGCACGGGGCG